GGTCCAGAGACTGTTCACGTCACTTCTGCCGATCCAGAGACTGTTCACGTCACTTCTGCCCGTCCAGAGTCTGTTCACGTCACTTCTGCCCGTCCAGAGTCTGTTCACATCACTTCTGCCTGTCCAGAGACTGTTCACGTCACTTCTGCTGGTCCAGAGTCAGTTCACGTCACTTCTGCCGGTCCAGAGACTGTTCACATCACTTCTGCTCGTCCAGAGTCTGTTCACGTCACTTCTGCCAGTCCAGAGTCTGTTCACGTCACTTCTGCTGGTCCAGAGTCTGTTCACATCCCTTCTGCCGATCCAGAGACTGTTCACGTCACTTCTGCCGATCCAGAGACTGTTCACGTCACTTCTGCCCGTCCAGAGTCTGTTCACGTCACTTCTGCTGGTCCAGAGACTGTTCACATCACTTCTGCCGATCGAGAGACTGTTCACGTCACTTCTGCCTGTCCAGAGACTGTTCACATCACTTCTGCTGGTCCAGAGACTGTTCACATCACTTCTGCCGATCGAGAGACTGTTCACGTCACTTCTGCCTGTCCAGAGACTGTTCACGTCACTTCTGCTGGTCCAGAGTCTGTTCACGTCACTTTTGCTGGTCCAGAGACTGTTCACATCACTTCTGCCGATCGAGAGACTCTCTTCACAGGCGTTGAGTCGTCTCATCACAGGCGTTGGGGCATCCGAAATCCCCGTGAGAGGCTGGACACAAAACTGGACCTGACGAACGCCATTTTTCTCGGGACAAGCGTCCCGAGATAACAGCAGAAAGGCAGATGGGAAATAATTAGCATAGCTGATGTTCATAATGATTTCCGTTATAACTCACAAACTCTCCGTAACCTGAACTCTCCGCAACCCGACCATACGCGCCGACCCGTTTGTCTAAAAGGCTGTCGAGCCCCACTGGTGCGTTAAGCAGTTTCAGTGGCAAACGGTTCCGTATGGCATAACAGAGGACTAGAAGGTAAGCATTATGTGAATGCTTGACTAAAGAGATGCGTCTTTAATCTAGTTTTAAACTGTGTCAGCGAGTCAGAGGCTCGGACCGTATCGGGAAGGCCATTCCAGAGTTTTGGAGCTAAATGCGAGAGCGCCCTCCCTCCTTTACTGGACTTCGATATCCTAGGAATGACCAGAAGCCTTGAATTTAGTGATCTTAAGGAACGCGGTGGATTGTAGGGCGAAAGAAGGTCCGTTAAGTACATAGGTGCTAAACCATTTAGGGCTTTATAGGTTAGTAGTAGTACTTTGTAGTTGATTCAGTGTCTATGGACAAGATGACCGAGCCAGAGACTGTTCACGTTACTTCCTTCGAGCCAGTGTCTACGGACAAGATGGCCGATCCAGAGTCTGTTCCTGTTCCCAAGCCAGTGTGAATGTTGTCTGTTCCCGAGCCAGTGTGTGTATTGTGTGTTCCCGAACCGGTGTGTGTTGTCTGTTTCCGAGCTAGTGTGTCCGCATTGTTTGTTCCCAAGCTAGTGTGTGTGTTGTCTATTGCCGAGCCAGAGTCTGTTCCTGTTCCCGAGCCAGTGTGTATGTTGTCTGTTCCCGAGCCAGTGTGCGTGTTGTCTGTTCTCGAGCCGGAGCCAGCGTCTGTTCCCGAGCCAGTGTGTGTGTTGTCTGTTCCCGAACCAGTGTGCGTGTTGTCTGTTCTCGAGCCGGAGCCAGCGTCTGTTCCCGAGCCGGAGCCAACGTCTGTTCCTGTGTTTGTGTCTGTTCTTGTGGCTGTTACTGTTCTAGTGTCTGCTGTTCCTGAGCCGGAGCCAGCGTCTGTTCCTGTGTTTGTGTCTGTTCTTGTGGCCGTCACTGTTCTAGTGTCTGCTGTTCTCCAGCCAGTGTGTGTGTTGTCTTTTCCTGAGCCAGTGTGTGTGTTGTCTGTTCCCGAGCCAGTGTGTGCATTGTCTGTTCCCGAGCCGGAGCCAGCGTCTGTTCCCGAGTCAGTGTGTGGGTTGTCTGTTCCCGAGCCGGAGCCAGCATCTGTTCCTGAGCTGGAGCCAGCGTCTGTCCTTGTGGCAGTTACTGTTCTAGTGTCTGCTGTTCCTGAGCCGGTGTCGTCCGAAGTGTCTTCACCGCCGTGGCCGCACAAGGCGTCTTCACCGCTGTGGCTGCCCGAGGGGTCTTCACCGCCGTGGCCGTCTGCACAGCCCACTTCGCCCTGGTCACCTGAGCAGCCCGCTCCGCCCAGGTCCTCCATCCTGCTGCAGTCTCCAGGCCCTCTTCCGCTCCACGGGCCTGGCCCTCCATCCCACCCCTGGGTCCAACTCTGCTCCACCTCCCTCCTGAACTGTTTTCATGAGGAGCATCTGGAATCCTCTCCTTAAGTGGGGGGCTCTGTCACGATTCCTGTTTTGTGTTTTCCTTGTCTCGTGTGGACTTTAGTTAATTCCTGTTCCGTGCCATGTTTTGTAGTCCTTTGTAGTTTTTCTTGTTGATGAGTCTCCCCAGGTCTTTCTATTAGCCCCGCCTCCCTGTTATCTTGTTTAGCTTGTTTGTCTGTGTATTCTGTGTATGCTTCAGTTTTTGGTTGTCGTCGTTGTTACTTGTTGTAGCTGTCTCCATGTTCCGAGTTCCGTGTTCCTTTGTTTGCCCTGGATGTTTACTTTGGATGTTTATTTTATTAAAATAGTGCTTGCATTTGGATTGTCTCTCCACTTCATCGTTGCCTCATCGTTACATCAACACTGCACATACGTCACTCGGAGATCGCACTGCACACAGAAACTTATCAACGCGACTTTTATTGATAAAATAGTTTCGCTACTGAATATATTTCTCAGCAAAGATGCGGTAACATTGCTCGTTTCAAAGTAAGTACACTAAAAGCTTCATTGTTAATAGAGAGAGATGCTGAATAGATGCAGGTAATTCACGCACATCTCTCTCTCTCTCTCTCTCTCTCTCTCTCTCTCTCTCTCTCTCTCCCTCTCTCTGTCAATAATGAATTCAAAAAATGTTATAATCTAATGCACTACTTTATCTCTGTGTCTGATTTAAAGCAGGTAGAATGCTATAGATTTAATGAGCCATAACTGATGAAAATAACTGTCAAATATTGCGCTGCAAACATCTTTAAGTAAGTAAGTAAGTAAGTAAAATTTATTTATACAGCGCCTTTCACAGACTTAGTCACAAGGCGCTTTACAATATACAAAAAATTTGATAGAAAATAAAATAAAACAGATAAAAACATCAACATGTAAAATACAGAGATTACCCAAAAGCTAACCTGAACAAGTGAGTCTTCACTTGTCCCCTAAAACTGTCCACATTCTCAGCCAACCTAATACTGGTAGGCAAGGCATTCCATAATCTGGGTGCCATAGCGGCGAAGGCCCTGTCCCCACATGTCTTTAAACGAGTGCGTGGCGTAGATAGCAACTTTTGATTATTAGACCTGAGAGACCGGAGAGGAGTGTGAAAATGAATTAGCTCAGCAAGATAAGCAGGGGCCTGACCATGTAAAGCCCTAAAGGTTATAGTTAATATTTTGAATTGGATCCTGTAGGTAACCGGAAGCCAGTGAAGGGAGAGGAGTATTGGGGTGATATGGGGTGATTTAAGTTGTCGATGATGGCAAATGACCATGGCACAAGTTGGATAATCCACGACTGGCTGTGCATTAAACGATTAGATTGCACGCTACTTCCCGTCGGGTGGTTCTTCCCCTCCAGTCTTGCATTAAAATCACAGCTAGCCACAGATTATCCCTTACATCAAAGATTTCCAGTCTCAGATGGTTTGGGTTGGTGTCAGTGTTGACTCGTGCCATGGAGGGTGGTCTGTTTTTCCTACAGAAGCTGGTGCGGGGCTTCTAAAGAAAATGAAAAAGGCAGAATGAGACCACATAAAAAAGTCTTATAAGAGCAGATAATTGGTAGCAAACGGTGATAGTTCCGTCCTCTTTATTTTAGAAAGAGTAAAGTTTGGATTGTTTTGTAGTTTTCCAAAATGAGTGTCTAATAAACAAAATAGTTGATTTATGGCATCACTGTGAAAACCCATTGGAACCTTTATTTTTTAAGAGTATACTGTATGCTAGTGCATTCCTAAAAGTGAAAAAAATGACCAAATTAATCTACTATATTTATTAAAGTACCCTGCTTTTCAGCAATCTCATCCCAAGACGTCATACAACTGATGCTTTTGACCATACGTCAACATCCGCAGTTTTAGGGTACGCTTAAACGTCGATTAGATGACGTTATCCTAACCCTACCCCAGACCTAAATCTACCCTGTCACCTAACTGACGTAAAAGGTAAAGCGTCCGTTGGATGACACCCCAGGATCGTCATCTAACCGACGTCTAAGGGTACCCTAAAACGGCGGATGTTGACATATGGTCAAAAGTGTCAGTTGTATGACGTCTTGGGATGAGACTGTGTTAAAAAATGTCAACAATGGTAAGAAAACTTCACTGTTCTGATAAGAAGTGTACATTGCAGCATCCATTCTCTCCTCTTTTCAGTAAGACTGGAATTACTGACAACTCGTTTCAGAAGTTCTCAATCGATTCTTTCTTTTGGGGACATTGACTCCATTTATCGTGAACTTTGATCTTACAGCTATATTACACACTACATGTGATGAAAAACACGATCAAAGGGGCATTTAAGAGAAAAATACTCAGTACACCTTTAACTTTAATATTTATCAGGCACGCAACTTTCTTCATAACAAATATCAACTAGGTTTACAAAACTACATAGCTTCATTGAAAGGTATATCATGACAGTACCGACACAAAGCAAACATGCACAACAATGTCATTAATCATTAACAGAGAGAAATGCTTATCAATCATTGACCAATATGTAATCTTAAAATAATAAACTAGCACTGGTTAGCCTGTCTCATACACAATCTAAGCTGTGCACTGGTATTCCGCTGCTTTTTCAGCGTCACAAGGAATGCAGAGACAGGTTTAGACCTGAACTTCCGTACAAGGCAGGAAGTAAGCGAACTGTCAGTGACTAACACACAAGCGCACAGCTCTCAGCCTGCTGCATGTGGGTTGGGTGGTGTCTAACGTTAAACAGGAAAGAGAGGCATTTTACTGAAAACTTATTTATGACCACATCACCTACTGAAAGGCATTAAAGCTGAAAGATAAACAGATAAACCAAGGTAAGTGATGCTTTTCCTCAAACAAATAGGGTGGTTGACAACTAGGACTGGGTTCAGTGTGTTTTTGACCTGTTACATTTAACAATTATCAAACAGGTCAATTTTGTGGGGGGGAAAAAAATCGTATTAATTAATTATATTGTTGCGACTGGCCAGAATTAATGGTATATTTACACTGGTATTAATACACCACAAATAACACCACACCCATATCAGTGTGATATTATCATTTAACCTCCTAAAAGAACATGAATCAAATAGTTTTGGACTAGCCGATCTAAAAGTTGACATCAAAATGGATTCTACTTACAGCTCAGTAAGTTCCCAGTTTTGTTGTTTCATTGTCTTCATAAACTTTAATCAAACTTTATTATTATTACGTTAACCAACAGTCATCCACAATTCTCTGAGCATGGATGGATAAGATGGATAAAATCAAGTCTTCTAGAAATTGTTTTCATTAAATAATCTGTTTACTTGGAAATATATCACAGTATGGAGGTAAAGTAAGTTGGAAATGGCATTTTATGTTGACTTGAAGACTGGATGGTAAATGTAACATTTATTCAAAATTAGAGTTTTAACTCTTGCTGTTTGGCTTGCCTGAATTATGAATTATGTCCTCAGCTGTCTGGTGTCTCTATCAATGATTACTGTGTGTCTGTCTCATTTGGAATAGCACATGCTGTCAGTTCTCTAAATTAGCAAATAACAGTCATTTGACTGTTACAAGGCCATTGAATTAAGTCTGTTTCTGGGCTGTTCCATCTCATCGACAGAAAAAGATTTGCAAAAGCAAAAGTTTTAGCCTCAACGCACATAAAGAGGTTTAGTGTTTCAAGTACAACATCTCACATGTTAAAGTATACCAGCACTGTAACAGGAATCATAGAACGGCACACCAGCTGAACTAAAACACTGCCCAAGTGTTTGAGGAAGAAACAAACAGGAGACTGTTTTTCTATCAGGTTACCCTAAAGCCAACAGTCTTTCTAGTTCTAATGACTGTTTTCCTTAGACTAAAATTACTGCTAAAGAATGATAGCATCTCAGTGGTTTTAAAAAGCATTACTGTGACAACATTAGCTGCTAGGCTATTCAGAGAACTGTGAATGAACTGTTGCTCTTTACTGAATCATGGAATGCTGTAAAATACATTATTGAAACTAGCATTCAGTCCTTTGGGAAATGCTAACAAGTTTGCAGCCTCAACAATGACATTTAAATATCAAAAAGTCCTGTTTTTGACAAATGTTTTGTCGGTTTATAAAGGATTCAACTTGTATTAATACCTGCTAAAGCAAACACCACTAGTACTATTGTATCAGCCAATAGTAAACTCTAAAGTAAACTTTGGCAAACACTTTTCATGTTACAGATATGAATGACACCTCAAATTGTTGGTTGAAGAAAGATGTATAGTGATCAGACTTTCACATACTATTGTATACTATTATACTATTTCCTAATACTTATCAAAAACATCCCATAAACTATATTTAGAGACCAGAATATTACAGAGACTTTAAAGTGGACTGTTTTGACTTGGCCAGTGCGTTACCACCCAGCAACCAATGAAATTAAAGGCCAGTTAAAGAGAGCGCATTTACTTTCATGACTGTTTATTAACACATTTTAAATCATAAAATTTTAGTAATCTTTTGTTGTTCTTTAAAGAAGTACACTTATTTTCATGTGTTGACTAACATATTAAAGCACATGTAAAGTACTTGATTACAATTTTAACAGTAGTGTCTTATTTAACACTGTATTTAGAGTTACACTTCATTGAAATTAAATTGAAACTTCATCAGTACAAATGTAATGTACAAAATACAAATATATTTAAATACATGACATAAGTTCCACTAGAAATGTCATTTAAGTGTGTTTTAGTTTGTCACAAATGCTTACATTTGACAATAAACTTTAGCCATATCAAAGACAATAACATAAAGATTAAAAAAGTCTTCACTCTAAAGTTCAGCCATCTGCATTTATTAAACATTTAAAATGTAATGCATTTTCATTTAACTGCAAATAACAAGAAGCAAACTTTCTGGAAACTTTCAGTTCACACTTAATATTCTTCTAAAGTATAGAGTTAATCAAATCAAACAGTTCCATCAACAAAATTGAGAAGTTTCAGGACACAGAATGTACAGTAATCCTGCTTTGATTGCAGTATGACTAAATAACTTCCTCGATATTTAATTTAAAACACATGTAATTGTGAAACAAAAGGAAACAACGAGCTAATTTCTTTTCCAGACCTGAAATCCTACAGAGAGGATTGATGTGGAAATTACAGTTACCATGACACTTAACAAAAGAAAATCCTTCTTGAGAAAGAAAAGAGGAGGATATTGCGCTGCATATTACTTTTTCATTTCTTCCTGTTGTGGCACATCAAATCTACGTAGCATAAATCAAACAAAACACATGTATGTTTTAACATGAACGTGTATTGATGATATATTGATGCGTGTTGTCAATTGTTTGAAAAAAAAATAGATAAGAGACATATGAGAAGCACCATACTGTGATACTGTAGCAAGATAGAGATTGAGAGTGTCATCTGTTTCCTGTTGAAAACTTAGATGCTTTCAACATCTTGTGAGAGGAAGTTGCAGTAACCACTTCCCCATGTGTAGCAGCACATAAACAGCTCTCTGATTGGCCGCACGGCAGTGCTTCATTTAAACAAGAAGACACAGCATTGTTCTACTCACAGGTGCTGGTGGTACAGACTCTGCCCGCCTGGTCTGACAGAGTATCATTTGTTTTCATCTTTTTCATCACTTGTGTTGTATTGTCTTGTTCATATAAATTCCAAATGCAAACTCAGTATATACTGTATATATATTTTACTTTTTATATAAAATAAAATAATTTCAGAATGAAAAAATAAAGTAAATATGTTTAGATTAAATAAAAGAAAAAACAAAAAAATACCTGAGTAAAAGAATGTGAACAAACCTCTGTGTTGGTTTGAGAAAGTTTGAAGAAGGCCTAATTGTAAAAGCTTGATGTGTGTGTGTGTGAGAGAGAGAGCGGGGGGAATCTGTTTTAAACACTCAAAGTTTGAAGGTTTTAAATCTCTGACAAATTGTTTGCAAGTTGCTTGAGTACTTGGGGAGTTGCTAGGGTGTTTCTATGTGGTCGCAAGGTTACTCAGGGTGGTTGCTAAAGTTGTTTCCATGTAGCTGTTAGGGTATTTAAGGTGGTTAGGGTGTTGCTATGTGGTTGCTAATACTCAGGGTGGTTGCTAGGGTGTTAATGTAACTTAATATATCTAAAAAGTAACATTTTCTGAAATAAATGTGAATGGCTTTTGTGCCTCACTATAAGGTGGGGTTGGTGGTTTATCAGGGTGTTGCCAAATTAAGTGGTTGGTAAGCTGTTTTGAGTGGGTTTGGCAAAGTATGATAATCTGCTTTTAATACGGATTGAATCCGTTCAGTATTATTTTTGTCCATTTTATTATTCACCAGAAAAAAAAACCGTACATCTCACTTTGAAAAGTACACTTCTTCTTGATTTGAGGAATTAATTTATTTCTGTAGCAGACAAGCTAGATGACTGTGTGTAAAAATGTTAACATGTGCATTAATTCAAACCAGTTGCACAAATGATTTGCTGAATGCGGGATAATAAGAAGGAAGTGGGGAAGAGTTGGGTAGTTTGGACCAAGATTACTGAGTTTGTTTTATTAGTTTACAAGAACTGCAGGCAGCTGGAATAATCAGTGAAGTTACTGTAACAGATCTGTTCTTTAATCCTACTGGCTCATACACTCTAAAAAATGCTGGGTTGTTTTAATCCAATTTTGGGTAAAATATGGACATGCTCAAAAATTGGGTTAAAATAATTTAAAAAATGTAACCAAATGGCTGAGTCTGTCCATTTTTGACCCAAAAATGTATAGAACATGAACTAGTTTGTGCAGTTATGGTAGCAACATTACAATAGAATGAAACAGAGAATGATCTCTTTGCGTGTAAGTCATAGTTTCTGTAATATTGTACACTCAGGCTGCAGTAAGCGTTCATGGGCAGGATTCTGCATGTCTTAGCAAAGAATGAATGTGTAAAAGAGTTATGCAAGCCATGCTTTTATCTCTAGCCTCTGGATGGATATTGTGCAATGTTTAGCTTTGGGTTATGTTTTGTATGCACATATTATCCATTACAATCTTATATGCTATAATTAGTAAAAAAAATTACACCATCCAGTTGACCAATTCAACATATCAGTTACAAAAGTATATGAAGGCCAGATTATCCAGATGACAACATCTCCAATTTACGAAAATACTTTATGATTTGTTAACTTTCTCATTAAGTTTTTGGAATAAAACATTCCAAAAACTTAATGAGAAAGTTAACAAATCATAATATATTTTCTGAATGTTCAAAATGTCCTGATAATTGTTATTAAAAAAACATTATTTCTTGGTTATGCCAATGTTAAGGGAACATGAATTTCTGCTATAGGAGTGTTACTTTTGAATGTTCTCTGAACAACACAAGAAGTAACATTTAAAAATGTTAGACGAACGGGTCTAAAAACAATTTTCAGGAAAAAAAAGATGTATAGATAATATTTTTGTGGCAACATTTTAAGAACATTATCAAAGACCATATAACATTTGAACAAAGTTTCAGAATTCTGTTTTATTTATTTTTTGTGTCTTGTTGTTCCTATGTGTTTGTTTCTTGCCCTTCAGTTTATTTTAGCCTTGATTGTTTAGTTAATCTCTTTGGTTACTGATTACGTTCAGCTGTCGTTCATTGTGTTTCCCTTAGTTCACTTTGAAATTAATTTTTGATATGTTTTAGCTTACCTCAAGGGCATCCAAGATGTAGGTGTCTCTGTTTCCACAGTATTTTCAATTTTGACATTTTTCGGTCAAACCGTTGTTGTCTGTCAGTTATATAATGGAGGTTTAGGGGGTCCTCCCTCGGTTCACGTCAAAGAGCATGCACAGAGAAGTCCAGATTAAACATGATTGAATGACTCGGTAAAAAATCTCGGTACACCTTGATGGCCTAAGACACGAAACGAGCAGTTTGTGTGAGAAAACGAACAGTATTTAGCTATATCATTTTTACCTTGTGTAGCCACAGCCATGTCCAACTGATGCGCCGGAAGTGATGTCTCGATCGTGTATGTCACTCATTGTTTACACAGAGATTTCGGATGTTTTACCTTTCACTGTGAAGATCTAAACATATTTAGATATATCGAAATCATCTTCCATTGCGATTTCCTGTATTTTTCGTTGTAGCATTTGAAGTCACAAGAAAATGCCTCTATTGATATTAAAAAAGGTAGAGCACTATTGATATTAAAGGTATAGTGGAGGATCTTTCCGAATATTAGAGAAGACCCGCCTTCTCCATTTTTTAAAAATAAAGGCACATGCACAAACACAACACTCTTGCTCCCGAGAGGGAACGCCTATTACGCCTTACACAATTATTATGTTGCAAATTCTAAACTAACTCAAAAACATTCATAAAAAAAGACAAAAGCCAAATGCCCTTCCGTGTTTTATTTACTTATTATAGACGAATCCGACGAGCGTTCTGTGTAGGCTGCCATCTTGTGGCGACGCCATTACTGAGCTGTTACACAGGCATATAGACATATGCACAGGTATGTAAACAAACCTCGGTGATAACGCGAACTCACCCTCGATGACAGCTACAGCCAGGCAGAATGACTTGTTGGTTTGATCTGTGACTGCAGTGGCCTCCAGTCACAGATGAAGGTACAAACAATCTTACAGATTAACGTTATTTATGAAAATAGCTTGGCAAGCTAGCTAGGCTAACGTTTGCTAACGAGGAAACTATAAAAAGATCTGTCCATTTGGAAACAATAAATAAATAAATGAATGAAATCAAATAAACAAATTCATGTTTTTCATTTGTGTCCATTATTTATCTCATTTTCACATTGCAACAGGCAAGGGTAAGGTAACGTTACAGCTAGAAAGTATACATAATATCGACCAATTAGTGTTTTTAAACCATGGAAAGAGGTCAATATAACAGCAGGAAAACAATTATGTCACATAACGTTACATTTAGCTCAGGAAAGCCATTTAATGACCATAGCATGTTAATTGAATAGAAAAAATAGCAAGAGAGGAGATTTTGCTGATCACTATATCACATATTTATTATATTTTTTTTACTCATGTCATTAAATAATTGTTATTATACGCGAATGTCCACGTCTTGTACTCGCCCAGGAAATCTGTAAACCGTACGGCACCAGACAGGGGCAGTCGACCCGGGGTATTCACAATGTTTTCTCTTCAAAATTTACATTTTACTGCCACCATTGAAACAATTTATAACGGAAACTGTTTACCCACTCGACATTATACAAGGGGTAACGTTGTAACGTTAGTGACAGTCGTAAATCGCGGGCTGTTTATTCCAGTGGACGCAAGTTGCAACTAAAACAATAGGAGGCAATGGCGCAACTCTACCCAGCAACAGCTCAGTAATGGCGCCCCGCTTACTTCCGGTAGTTTCGCCGGATTCGTCTATACTGATCGATTGAGTGACCGAGGACTCAAGACATGATATGTGCAACCCTTATCACACGAAATACGTTCTGAGGAAACTATTTTGCAAATCGCAAATACGTTACATGGCAACATATAAGCAGTGCTATTACGTTGGTCCTTAACCTAATATGTCTCATTGTTAATACGTAGGTATTAATACGTAATTTTTATACATTGCATATGTAATGGAGAAGTAGCTTGTTGCATTTGTGTAATAATAAACACACAAGGTTTTAGAATATGAACACATGAACACACAAGGAGAATATTTCAGCGTGATACCATTTACCATTTGGTCAAAAGGCTACTTTAGACAAATTGAGATGTTTACCGTGTCTATGCGGTGCATGACTTGTGCCAGGACTATATTGCTATCTCCAAATAGCATGACAAACTTTACCTGTCTAGTAGAGTCTTCGCGACTGCGGCATCAGTGAGAAGCCCAACCTGTGCTTTTAGCGCACGCCAGCGTGTGATATTCACCCAAAATCACTCTGGTCTTGTTTCTATATTCTTATCATACACTTCGTATACATTTTTTCTCTTTCGACCCGAAACCGTAACTCCGACATAATACACCTGAAAGTGAAAACTACATAGGGATGAGCACGTACGACGGCCTTACGTAAACATATCACCAGAATGATTGACACTTAGGTGGACCAATAGTATAGACTACCCACCCGGAAAAAGAAAATCCTCCGCTATACCTTTAAGAAAGAAAGAGCACATAGTGACATGAAAATAATACCGGAATGTTGCCAAGGTCGACGATGAAAAAATCCAGTTTAGAAGTCATTATATAATAATATTTCTTTAAACTTTATTACAAGGTGAAATTGTTACAGTGTAATTACACAATTAAGGACTGAGTAATGTTAATTAACTACATGTACTTAATAATAGGGTTATGGAGTTAGTTACTTGTAATTATGCATATATTTGTTGTATTTTCCGATTTTCCATTCACCACTTTAGAAGTTAACCCATGGTAGGACGACATCCATGTCTGAGAACCCTGGAAATGTGAAAAGAAAGGGTCACAGATTTTATTATTCCAGAAAGTATTACATATAGACATGGTAATAAATAATCAATTAAATTACAGTGAAAATGTATTTGTATTTACATTTAATTTATGTGTTTGGTTTCTGTGCTTCAGTTACATTATTCACTAGTCTTTAAACTAGTTTTCCCCAATCCTGTTGTATGACTTGTTCTAAAGATGTTAAATTCTCATTGCCCAACTATTCCTGTTTTAGATGGACGACATTGATGCCATGTTCAGCGACATGCTGCAGGAGATGGATCTCCTAACGCAGGTAAGTTTCCTATCCGAAACGTTTCGTATCCTCCAGACAGACAAACTAGCTAATCAGTACCATGTGTGCCTTTATGTGTTTCTTCAAACAGAGCATAATAATAATAATAAAATACAGAAATAGCTTCTTAAATAGTAACATTTCTAACATGAAGCTTTCCCCAAATTTTCATTTTATGTTTATGGTCACTTCAACAGAAGACAAAAGTTATCTCCCATTCAAAAAATGGCAATGGTCATTTTTATTCAGTTCCAGTAATGAGATGTGATGACTTATATATATACATATTTTCTCTTTATGCAATATAACTGATGGCCTACCTGTGAGCCAGCAGCTGCAAATAATTTGAACACAAAATAGGGAACAAAGGAAGCACACATACAGTATTAACACTGATATATACAGGGGTTGCAATGAAACTGAAACACCAATACAGCATCAGTTTGTCTTGGGGAATGACAGATACAAGTCCTGCTCAGTGGCCAGAGGGATTTTGAGCAATTTCTCTTCCAGAACAATGGCCGGGTCATTATGTGATGCTGGTGGGAGAAAATGTTTCTTTGCTCCTCCAAAATACCCTAAAGTGGCTCAAAAACATGTAGATCTGGTAACTGTGCAGGCCATGGAGGATGTTCAACTTCCCTTTCATATTTATCAAACCATTCTGTCACAAGTTGTGATGTGTGTATTGTGAATTATCATGGTGATACACGGCACACCTTCAGTGTACAATATTTGAACCATTGGGTGCACATGGTCCTCCTGAATGTTTTGGTCGACCCTGGCATTGACGGGCCCATCAAGCACTGTAGGGAATTACATGATTATCGCAGCCCAAACCATCACTGATCCACTGCCATGCTTCACTCTGGGCAGAAACAGTCTGGGGGATAAGCCTTTTTGGGGCTTGTCCCCACTGTAACTCCCACATATATGGTTAAGACAGTAAATGAAGATTCATCAGAGAACAATACATGTTTCACATTGTCCACAGCCCAAGATTTGCACTGTTGGCACCGACATTTGGCACTGGTGCGAGTGACCAAAGCTATAGAAGCCCAACCATGCTTGACTCTGTGAGGCTCAAACTAACAGTTTCAGGTGCGCATTTACTTCTGCAGTGAGTTGGGCTGCTGTGGTTTAATTTTTTTTTTTTTAATACAACCCAGGTCAGCGCAGTCTCACCCCAAAAAGTCATATAACTGAAGTTTGGGGACGTCTTTTGACCATACGTCAATATTCGCCTTTTTAGGGCCCCCTTAAACGTCGGTAGATGAGGTTATGGGATCCTAACTCTACCCCAGACCTAAACCTAACCCTAAACCTAACCCGTCACCTAACTGACGTTAAAGGTAAAGCGTCAGTTGTATGACGGCCCGGGATCGCCATCTAGCGACGTTTAAGGGGGCCCTAAAAAGGCGAATATTGACGTATGGTCAAAAGACGTCCCAAAAAGTCAGTTATATGACTTTTTGGGATGAGAATGTGTTGCCCAGGTTAGTACCTGAACATCCCTTTCAGACAGTTTCTTTCATCGACAGTTACTCCTGTTGGATGTAGTTCGTCCTACGTGGTGGTATGCAGACATTACACTGGATATAGCTCTTGATACACCAAAGACTTGCTGTTCTGGTCACAGATCAGCCAGAGAGATGCACAACAACAATTTGTCCTCTTATGAAAACTGATGTGTATCCCATTGTGTTGTGTGGATTGCAATATTTTACGAACAGCTGTGCTATTGCTCTGCTTATTCAACCTTCACAATCTGCTTTTACTGATGGACTGTAAAGTCCGTAAAGATTAGCAACCAGGCCATGCATATCTAGTGAGAAACATCTAGTGAGAAACATGTCACATCTACTTGCTATGATGACAGTTGCTTTTCTGTTATTTCTGTTATTTCAAAAATAGCTTCTATATTTGTTGTCTATCATTTGTATTGTTCCTCATTTGTCATTTGTTTGTTTTTTCACAGAGTTTGGGAGAAGAAGCAGAGTCTGCACCTTTGCCTAAACCTCCCTCCATTCCTGCCCCCCAGGAAATGAACTTTTCCATTGGTTTTACAGATTTGAATGGTAGACAATATTTCAACCTAATACTTTCCTCTCCATTGTCTGCTTTCTTACCACCTTATTTCACCTGAAAGTCTCAATTCATCAACTGTGTTGAATAATTTGTGAGAAAATTAGTGATTAATTAACCATAAAATTGCTTAAAACTATGTCTGAGGGCAGCTCAAAGATGCACAGATAGTGATGTTTGAAGTGGAGAATGTCTCTCTATGTTATGTCTGCAATCAAATCCCGAATAACCCACTTATATATTGACCTCATCAAGCTCAAAACTTCAACTCTGTTATAGGCACACACACAAAAAAAGCACAACGATAAATCTTTACAGAAAAAAAAACAAGTGTTCTTAGCACAAGAAGATTAACTGTAAATACACTGTAAAAAGTGACAGAGTGCAATTTTTACCTGCTATTAAAAAACTATATCTATACCTGATTTAAAGGGTTAGTTCACCCAAAAATGAAAATTAAGTCATTAATTACTCACCCCCATGCTGTTCCAACCCCGTAAGACCTTTGTTCATCTTCGGAACACAAATAAAGATATTTTTGATTGAATCTGAGAGCTGGATCAGTCCTACATAGACGGCCTAAGGGACTGGCTCTTGACGGCCCATAAAGTCATTAAAGAAAAGGTTTAAATATTCCATGTGCCTACAGCGGCTCAATTATAAGTTTATCAAGCGACGAGACTACTTTTTGTGCGAAAAAAAAACATAAATAACGACTTTATTCCACTATTCTATTACTTCCTTATGGGCGCATGCGCGAGAACTGAGACGAGGACGTTCTCATTCGTCTACTTCTTGTTACCGGCTGCTCACCGCTCAGGAGTTTTACCGCCACCTACCATATAAAATGATGATCCATATATAAGGCGCTCCGGATTATAAGGAACACTGTCGTTTTTTGAGAAGATTGAAGGCTTTTAAGTGCACCTTATAGTGCGGAAAATACGCAAATTGAAAAGCGTATGTACAGCGCGCATCTTCCTCTGCTTGTAAACAGAAAGTTTTGCACTTCCAGCTATATCAGTACATCATCTTATACGGTAGGGGGCGGTAAAACTCCTAAGCGGTGAGCAGCCGGTAACAAGAAGTAGTCGAATGAGAACGTCCTCTCGTCTCAGTTCTCGCGCATACGCGCATAAGGAAGTAATGGAATAGTGGAATAAAGTCGTTATTTATGTTTTTTTTCGCACAAAAAGTAGTCTCGTCGCTTGATAAACTTATAATTGAGCCGCTGTAGGCACATGGAATATTTAAACCTTTTCTTTAATGACTTTTTTGGCCGTCAAGAGCCAGTCCCTTAGGCAGTCTATATAGGACTGATCCAGCTCTCAGATTCAATCAAAAATATCTTTATTTGTGTTCCGAAGATGAACAAAGGTCTTACGGGGTTGGAACAGCATGGGGGTGAGTAATTAATGACTTAATTTTCATTTTTGGGTGAACTAACCCTTTAACCAATTTGTTTTGTTGGTATAAATGAATTTTATTTAGGTTTGTTCAGTAATGTTAAATAATATTTTTTGACTTGAATAAATCCAGTTAATTTAATCAAATTAAATCCAGCCAATGAATTAAATGAGGCAGTAAATATGTAATTATTATTGTGATGCGTTAACCTTGGATTGGGTGTACTAAGGATCACTGATATGATGTTACGTTTTGGGGTGGACCTTCATGCTTATTTAAAAAAAAAATTCTAAAAAATCACATTGTACAAATTAATTCGGAATTCACAATTACTGTACTGTAGTTACTGTAGATAGGATTGTAATTTCTTGTTCCTCCCTCATCTTTGGGTGATCTGTATGTTGTCAACAATGTGATATTTTTGTTTCACATTGTTACCCTATATGTTTCTCAAAAGCATCCCTGCATGAGATGGAAGACAATGACTTAGACGCCTTGATGGCTGACCTGGTGGCGGATATCAGTGCCACGGAGGAAAAGTTTGCCACAGACAGAGATACGTCAAAGGGGTCAGCTCCATTTCCCCCAACACCCATACAGCCTCAGAGTAACTTTGGCCTTCCAGTGTCAACTGACACCTCAAAATCTGCAACTTCCTCCAACTCAATTGCAGCTCCGCCCCCACCTCCCGCCTCTAAACCATCAAGGGTAAGTATCATTCTGAACGGTCCGCACACCCACAGGCCTCATGTGGTTAACACATCCTTAGCTAAAGGTTACAGGGTTTATTTTAAAACCAGGCCAAACAACAGATGTGAACAAACATAATGGAATTTAAGTGCAGCCAACGCTGTAAAACTGCATTAACTTTATGAAGTATGAACCCTATGAATGTCTACAATATCCATCTCTACTCAGCATGTAAAAAAGCCCAACCATAAAATGTAATTACCTTCATGATTGCAATGTTAGCTCAGCCGGATATTCACTGAATGTTATTTTATGTCTAGCCCAGTGCTTGACGGAATGTACAACAGGAGACTGCTTTCTAATGTAGATCAGCTCTGTTTCACAACCTTAAGTGAGATGCCAACCTAGCAAGCACATGAAAGCATTACAGACATACTCCCGATGCAAACGCTGTTTAACAAGTTGGATCTCAGCTAGACTTCTGTTCATCCTTTTTTGCATCCTAGAATGCCTTGCAACATGCTATTATGAGGAGCGCTCTAAATTAGTAACTTATGATGTTCCATTCCAGTTAAGATACACAATACTCTCTTACTTTTGTAATTTTTAGGTTTAATCTGTAGAATCATCAGAGTAAGCCTTGCATTCCCCGTATGTGGAGCCTTTTGACTCCACATTGACTCCACGAAACCTTAATTAAAATCAGAATCAGATCACTCCAAAAATCATTGATATGGATTGTTATGTCTGTTAGGTAATTATCATTCTGTATCCCCCCAGGAAGAACAAGAGGAACAGATGAAAGCAGATAAAATCAAGCTTGCTTTGGAGAAGTTAAAGGAGGCCAAAGTGAAAAAGGTAAGCAATGCAGTCATTTTAATATATATATATATATCTTGAATGCACTTCAATGGGTTTAAGAATATTATTCAGTGCATTTCTAAAACAGCTGGAGACAAGAATGTGAGTCATTTATATGCAAAAAATATAGGTGCTTTTCATGGCATCGTTCAATGCTGTGCGGTGGGAATGTCTGGCTGTGTTAGGTGGTCTGGGTGAGCAGACATCCACCTCATTGATTTATTTATAAAACAGATGTCAATGACAATGTCAATGACATCATGGCATACTAAAACTGCTGCACGCTTGTTCAGACATTTGTTCATGCACAACCTCATGTAAGCCCAAAGAGATAGAACATCCCTTAAAGGATTAGTTCACTTACCCCCACGTCATCCAAGGTGTTCATATCTTTCTTTCTTCAGTCGAAAATAAATTAAGGTTTTTGAGGAAAGCAGTCCAGGGTTTTTCTCTATATAATGGACTTCAATGGGGTACAATGGTTTGAAGGTCCAAATGGGCTTTATGCCCAGCTGCACTACTTCCTGAATTTCAGCCAGCTCCTTGTTTCCTGTCTGCCATTATTGGCCAAATTGATTAATTCAGGTGTACCTGACCTCAGTAGTCATGGCAACAATAATCAGACACACCTGAATTAATCAATTTGGCCAATAATGGCAGACAGGAAACAAGGAGCTGGCTGCAGTTCAGGAAGTAGTGCAGCTGGGCATAAAGCCAATTGCAGTTTCAATGCAGCTTCACGATTCGACTCGATCTCAGCCAAGGAATAAGGGTCTGATCAAGTGAATTGATCCAGCGCAGTCATATAACTGACGTCTTGGGACGTCTTTTGACCATACGTCAATATCCGCTCTTTTAGGGCCCCCTTAAACGTCGGTAGATGACGATCCCGGGCCGTCATTCAACTGACGCTTTACCTTAAACGTCAGGTAGGTGACGGGGTAGGTGACGGGGTAGGTTTAGGTCAATGGTAGAGTTAGGATCCGATAACGTCATCTACCGACGTTTAAGGGGGCCCTAAAAAGGCGGATATTGACGGATGGTCAAAAGACGTCCCAAGACGTCAGTTATAAATTAAATGATTTATATGTAGTTCTGTCAGGACCACTATCGTCAAATATGATTGACAATTAGCATACAGTTAGGATTGGCGGTATGGGTCCGTTCTAGACGAGAACTCCCTCCACATCCATGCAGCCTAGCGGCAATAACTTAGCGTAAACAGAACAGAACCAACATGAATGTGTGTAGATTACTAATTCAAGATTTTAAAGTACAACATAATTCGAGAATTTATTCTGATTCAAGAGGAATCGGAATGTCAAATCCTGACTAGGCGAGAGGAGGAACTGGGGATGGAGGATGGTAATTAGCTCCTGAGAAACGTGATAACTGATAGGCATCGTATCCCTATGCGTAGACGTGGATCAGCTGAGAGTCAGCTGATGTGAGCTTGACTAACGTGACCTGCCCCCAAGCTTGAAATGTCACCTCCGAAACTGGCTATCAGTCCTCTTAGCAGCATGAAAAACAATAGATTTATTTATTGGATTATATAGGCTGTAGTCTCGAAAGTGAGTCAAGACCTTTTCTTACAATCACTAAGACTCTCTAAAAGTCTCTTTGTCAGTTCATCCCGATCTCACAAAGTTCATTGATAATCAATGAAGCTGCCAACGAAGCTTGAGTGGTGAGTGAACTCAAACACCTCTTATTGGCCATTGCATTCAAGAGTTCAACAACTATGTCTGTGATTGGCTACATTGCTAACAGCAGCAAAGATAGGTTGTTTGGAGGTTTGTGATATCTATGGTTTTCAATGAGAACAGTAGAGGTAGATTATTTACGGAGTAATTATTACTGCTTGATTATCTAAAAAAAAAAACCTTGTCTGCTTAACACAATTGAACTACCTTCATCTTGGAGTTAATCCTAGTTTATAGTTATGCAGCTAGTTGCTAACAGACTTGATAGCTACTAGAAAGACCTGGAACTACAGGACTCTACGTTGAAAATACTCGTTTGTTGCCCGCCAGACATCCATGGTAGTCACTTGACTGCAAAGTTTTGACTTGGACTCAACCCTCTCCAGGTCTCTGTTTTGACTTGGACTTGACCAACTTCAGATCTCTGGGTAACACTTTAGAATACGGTTCCTTCGTTAATGAATAACTACACAAGAACCAATGAGTAACACAATATTAACAATCTAGTAACTATTATTAACTAACAAGAAACTCTGATTAACGAACTAGTAAGTAATAGCGCACAGACGAAAGAGGTAGTTCACTATTAACTAATCAATAACTACTAGTTTTTTAATACTTCCCAAAGAACTACTGAAAAAGTTTATTAACAATCTAGTAACTACTATAAACTAAAAGAAACTCTTATTAACGAATTAGTAAGTAATAGCTCACAGATGAAAGTGTTACTAGATAGTTCTGTGGGAATTACTAATTATTTGGATTCATAAAGTGAAGATCATTGGAACTAACTAGTAATGACTCAAGTGTTACTAAAGACATTTTCTAAAAGTATACCAAAGTTCACCAAAAATCTCAAACGTTTGCACAAATCATGACTAGATCATGTAGTAACACTTGAGTAATTACTAGTTAGTTCCAATGATCTTCACTTTATAATACGGATCCAAATAATTAGTAATTCCCACAGAAGTATCTAGTAACACTTTCATCTGTGAGCTATTACTTACTAATTCGTAAGAGTTTCTTTTAGTTAATAGTAGTTACTAGATTATTAATATACTTTTTCAGTAGTTCTCTGGGAAGTATTAAAAAAATAGAAGTTATTTATTAGTTAATAGTGAACTACCACTTTCGTCTGTGCGCTATTACTTAATAGTTCGTTAATCAGAGTTTCTTGTTAGTTAATAATAGTTACTAGATTGTTAATATTGTGTTCTTGTGTAGTTATTCATTAACAAAGGAACTGTATTCCAAAGTGTTACCGATCTCTGTCCTGACTCAGACTTGACATCTTCTGGTCTCTTTATTGACTCAATTATTGTTCACTTTTTCGTCTTGACTCGGATTTGACCCACTTTTGGTCTCTGTCTTGACTTGGACTCGACCCTTTTCAGGTCTTGGTCTTGATTCAAACTTAACCATCTTCTGATCTCTGTCTTGACTCAGAATTTACCTTCTTCAGGTCTTGTTCTTCGCCCTGACTCAACCCCATTCAGGTCTAGATTGATTTGGACTTTCTTCAGGTCTCTGTCTTGACTTTTGCTCAACCTTCTTAATGTCTCTGACTCAAACTACTCTCGACCTTGACTCGAAAGAGCTGATCTCAGCTACATACAGTAACTGTCCAAATTGTTGTTAGAATCGTAGTATATGTCAATGACTGAAAAATATGTCTATTTTTATGTCTTAAAATGAATAAACATCTGAATCTCATGAAGCCTAAATGGCCTCTTCAGCAATAAAAGAACAAGCTTTGAACATTAATTGTTTCACTTAGATATACTTTATTATTATTATTTTATTTTTTTTTACAATATGCTGTCAGTTGCTTTCTTCTCAATAGATTAAAAAAAATAGTGTGTCATGGGTCAGTCAGCTCAAAAATGTCTGGTTAACCCACACTTACAGTAATGTCACAGCTGAGTGATAAAGTTGGTTATTTAAAGTGTTCAAAGTGTACTGACTCACACCAACATGTTGTAATAATTGTTACAAGAACGAAGCTTTAGAATGAGCTTAACTGCTTTTAGCATGATTGCTGATATTCAAGGATGACCTTCTCTAGTTCGCATGCCATTATCAGAGCATTTCTCTCTATAAGACTGTCTTTAACATCTGTGCATAGACCCTGTTGAAAACACAAGCATGGCTTGTCACCATCATGTGATTATGCTGGTGTTCCTACCAGGTTTCAACTAGTTTGTTCAGCGAGTTTTGTCCACTTTGCAGAATATTCTGGACAAGAACTGCTCACTTAAACTGGATGACACCATCTGACCAATATAGAATAAAACAACCCGGTCTCATCCCAAGACGTCATATAACTGACATTTTGGGACGTCTTTTGACCATACGTCAATATTCGCCTTTTTAGGGCCCCCTTAAACGTCGGTAGATGAGGTTATGGGATCCTAACTCTACCCCATACCTAAACCTAACCCTAACCTACCCCGTCACCTAACTGACGTTAAAGGTAAAGCGTCCGTTGTATGACGGCCCGGGATCGCCATCTAGCGACGTTTAAGGGGGCCCTAAAAAGGCGGATATGGTCAAAATACGTCCCAAATCGTCAGTTATATGACTTTTTGGGATGAGACTGTGTTAAATAAAAAGCATCAAAACCAAATTTTGTTACACTGATCATGCTAATTGTCATAAATCATGCCATGTGGTTATCCTGTTTGAGTTTAACCTTGTGATTTATCATTTGTTGTTATAGCTGGTTGTAAAAGTGGAGATAATGGATGGCAGCTCAAAGACTTTGATGGTGGATGAGAGACAAACAGTAAGAGAGGTGATGGACAACCTGTTTGAGAAGACACATTGTGACTGCAATGTGGACTGGTCTGTGTGCGAGACCAACCCTGACTTACAGACTGGTGAGTATTATCCATGTAGACACACACACACACACACACGCACACACAACTACATGTCCATTCAGTCGTCATCAGCTTTACAGGACTGGATTTTGCAAAGATGATGAGGTGTGTTTTCATTGGCGTGCTGACAGGCAGGATCCAGTGAGCTCACAGTACAAAGCTGACGTACCACCATACACATTCACTCTCACACACCAAACGACAGGTGGGTTTAATTTACTGTCCCAGACACTGTCACTCAACCTCCGTATCATGAGGAAATACAGTCCTTATGATCGAAATCCCCCTTTAGTCTTTCTCCATCTGCTGTGAGGCTTCATATACAGCCATTATGTTTGCTGTCTGGTTGCCAAATTTTAGATGATTAGACTTAAAGAGACTTTTTGAGCAATTGCTAGCATTTGTTTCCCTTATGAAAAATGAGGGCACTAAATTTTATTGAATAGTGTACTCCAAACCATATATAATATATTTTTGAAAAACTACTTGGAGATAATATACTATTATTGAAATGCAAGGCCACTTCAGTGTATGCTTAAAGAGTTTATACTCTCATTATTATGTTTATTAATTCACTTAACAAGTGCACCTTTTATATTAGTATGTTTTAATAATCTTTTGTCATGCTTTAAAGAAGCATGTTTTACGCTTATTTTGGATGTACTGACCAACATACTAAAACACATGTAAAGTACTTGATTATAATTTAAACTGTAGAGTCTTACTTGATATTACATTTAAATATAGTATGATATATATTCAAATATATTTAAGGCATACAAGTTTCAATAGAAATTACATTCGTTCAATTTAGTCCTTAACACTTTAGTCCTTAACGCTATTAACTTTAGTTAATTGTGTTTAAAATTGTTTTAAACTAAAATACATTTTCATTTAATGGTAAATAACATGCAATGGCATAAAATATTACATTTAGTTTGCACTTAAAGGGATAGTTTCCCAAAAATGAAAATTCTGTCACAATTTTCTTACCCTCAATTTGTTTGTTCCTCAATTTGACAGCTCCAAACCTGTATGAATTTCTTTCTCCTTCTAAACACAAAAGATATTTTCAATAATATGGGTAACCATACAGTTAATAATATGAAGAAAAAAAAAAAAACCTACACGAGTCAGTGGGATCCATCAACTGTTTATTTACACACATTCTTCCAAATAATAAAAACTTCAATGAATTAAAAACATAATGATTTAAATTTACTTTAAAGTCAAACTTTCAATTAGACTTTATTTTAAAGTGTACCTATTAAAAGTTAAGAAAGAGTCATGAATATTTAGGCTACTCTCTTTAAGTAAACCTATTTATTATTGTATCAGTTTTGTTATTTTTGCAAATACAGTTTATATATATATATATATATATATATATATATATATATATTATAGCTTACGAATAGGCAACTGACAATTAAAACTAATCAGCTGAACACTTATCTCAATATTGTTGGCGGTGTGCCTCCTCTTTAAAAACAAGTTGCCTCGATAAAAGAGTGTGAGGCAAGTGCAACTAAACAAACATTTCCAAAACAGACTCAACGTTTTACTATGTTAAATATCTTTGGAAACATGTTACACCCAAGTTAATTTTAGAGAAGTGTCATCCTCGCATGATGATGTTTCCTACTGTGAGTGACTTATAATCATGAGAAAAGTACTCATGCGAGTACAGCTCTGACACACAGTCAACCCGCATTAATACACCATCGTAACTTTGCCAAACGGGTGGCAGTGAAGGGAGAAGGACAAAGCCAAGCAACCCAGTCAGAACCCTCAGAATGTGACGTTTGAGAACCTAAAACCCTTTTTCTCCCAGTTGACAAGGCTACACATAACCGACATTATCAGAAATCTCCACTTTGGCTGGAGTTTTTAGAAATAATCATTTTCTGTAGTAAAAACAGGGTTTTCGTGTGAACGAGAGGCCAAACCACGGGGTAATATCTATGCGGTTTGAGTTTAGATTTGGTTTTAAATCGTGTTTTTTGTTTGATTTGTTCCCTGTTCAGTAGCTCATCAGTTACCATGTGTCTAGTTAATTATCTCATTTTGTCTCTAGTGTTTCTCTGTGTATTTATAGCCCAGTGTTTGTTTCAGTCTTTCTCAGATCTCATCAGCAGTTTTTCTGTTCATTGTGTTTTCCTTTCCTGATGAAGTGTACTATTTGGCTGTATTTGGCCACATCTACATTAATCCTTGAAAACATAACTTTCGTTTCAAAATGTTTTCCATCCAAACTGTCTCAGTTTCTCAGGAAGACCAAAACGGAGAGAAAAAGATGCGTTTTAAATTAAACAATATATGTGTGTGGACAAGGCCTATTGGCCTAATACAACTTGTTGCTGCTTGTTATTTCAAACAGTTTTAAAGTTTACTGTGCTTTGTTTTTTTTTCACCACTATACTCCCAACCGTTAGTGAACTTGGGACGTCTTTTGACCATATGTCAACATCCGCCGTTTTACGGTACCCTTAAATGTCGGTTAGATGACGTTATGGAATCCTAAACCTACCCCGTCACCTAACTGACGTTAAAGGTAAAGCGTCAGATGTATGACGCCCCAGGATCGTCATATAACTGACGTTAAAGGGTACCCTAAAAAGGCGGATGTTGACGTATGGTCAAAAGCGTCAGTTGTATGACGTCTTGGGATGAGACTGTGTTAGGAAATCATACATGCTGAGGGAAAATAGCTTCCATATTAACACTTAACGTCAGATCACCTGCCATCATCATTCCAGTTTCTAATCAATAACAGACAGACAGCATAGTACCTATAAGACTACAGTGTCTAGTTTGGCATCAATGCACCAGAAGCTGCACACAGTAAAAAGTCCCCTTTGGTTAATAAGTTTATGATAATCATTTTTTCAAGATATTTTTTATAAATATTTTTATAAGTCTTTTATAAGTTAAAGTTGAGTAAAGCTCACATCTTAAAAAGGAAGTTTTGTTTCGAGGAAGTTCTATTCTATATTTGTGCTTGCTTTGTGCTTATGCTTATTAGAATACAGATTAGTGATGGGAAGTGCAGATATTAAAGGCCTCTCATTTGAATGTACTTTACTTTATTAAAAACGTTTTACTGTATTTTTAATAAATACTTTGAGGACCTTTTAGCTTTAATCCATATTTTAGGTGCGCAACGTCATTTTTTTACAATTTACTTTGCAAAGTATATTATGAATGAAAACAATTATTTAAAAAAAATTTAATTTATGAATGTGTGTGTGCAATTAATGTTAAACATTCTTTAATGTATTCATGTATGTACAGTATGTATTTCAATCATGACAACTCTCGAAATTGAAAACACTATTGATAAGAATGGAATGTACTATATAGAATAGATTTTCTGCTACTGCTGGCAGCATGAGTAAAGCCTACTGTCGAAACATGCACATATACAGGAAAAAGGATACAAGCTGCTGTAAGGATTGTTGGCATAACCCGCTAGTAGATCAAGGCAGGTGGTGCTGGGGAAGGAGGAGGACTAAGAAAATGGCCATGGCGTTCTGCACTTAGCTGAGCCAAGTCGGGATGAAATAAATAGGTCACATAGATGTATTTAGGAGAACCACTCGGATGCTTGGGAGAGTTTAAAGATTGTTTCATAAACTAAGCATGTATGTGTGCAATTAAATTTATTGTTTTCCATCTTGTAGTTGGTAAGCTGCAAGGTAAACCCAAGATTGTTGGTACAGTTCCCTGAGAACACACACTTATACACTCACCTAAAGGAAGTTTAGGTGTTGGGAACACCACACTAATACTGTGTTTGAGCCCCTTTCACCTTCAGAACTGCCTTTATTCTGCGTGGCATTGATTCAGCAAGGTGCTGAAATGTTGGCCCATATTGATAGAATAACATCTTGCAGTTGATGGAGATTTGTGGGATGCACATCCAGGGCACAAAGCTCCCGTTCCACCACATCCCAAAGATGCTCTATTGGCTTGAGATCTGGTGACTGTGGGGGCCATTTTAGAACAGTGAACTCATTGTCATGTTCAAGAAACCAATTTAAAATGATTCGAGCTTTGTGACATTATCCTGCCTAAGTAGCCATCAGAGGATGGGTACATGGTGGCCATAAAGGGATGGACACGGTCAGAAACAATGCTCAGGTAGGCCGTGGCAAATGATGCCCAATTGGCACTAAGGGGCCTAAAGTGTACCAAGAAAACATCCCCCACACCATTACACCACCACCAGCCTGCACAGTGGTAACAAGGCATGATGGATCCATGTTCTCATTCTGTTTACACCAAATTCTGACTCTACCATCTGAATGTCTCATCAGAAATTGAGACTCATCAGACAAGGCAACATTTTTTCCAGTCCAATGGAAAAAACTGCCCAAACTGTCCAATTTTGGTGAGCTCTTGCAAATTGTAGCCTCTTTTTCCTATTTTTAGTGGAGATGAGTGGTACCTGGTGGGGTCTTCTGCTGTTGTAGCCCATCCGCCTCAAGGTTGTGCGTGTTGTGGCTTCACAAATGCTTTGCTGCATACCTAGGATTTAACGAGTGGTTATTTCAGTCAAAGTTGCTCTTCTATTGGCTTGAATCAGTTGGCCCATTCTCCTCTGACCTCTAGCATCAACAACCTCTAAAACAACATTTTCGCCCACAGGACTGCCGTATACTGGATGTTTTTTTTTTCATTTTCACACCATTCTTTGTAAACCCTAGAAATGGTTGTGCGCCAAAATCCCAGTAACTGAGCAGATTGTGAAATACTTTCTTTCCCATTCTGACAATCAGTTTGGAGTTCAGGAGATTGTCTTGACCAGGACCACACTCCTAAATGCATTGAAGCAACAGCCATGTGATGCCAAATCAACAGCCAAATCAATCGTTACACAAAGTGTTCATAACTTCAAAGGGTTTTATTGATTATCAGTATTTGTTTATGAAAATAGGAAAATGCGGTATGGACAAAATCTTAATTGAGTTTGACCTTTCCACAGAACGAGGGTTTGAGGACCATGAGAACCTAGTCGAGCCTCTTTCTACATGGACCAGGGACAGTGAAAACAAAGTGGTTTTTCATGAGAAAAAGGACAAATATGAAGTGTTCAAAAACCCCCAGGCAAGTATTTGGACGGCTATTTGTGTTTCTAGCCAATGAAATTTGAATTGCAGCTTATGAAAATATCAATGCTTTTCCCTACAGTAATGTTTCACTGAAGTGACATTTCCAGTGCAAAAACTGCTCTCTGACTTCTCTATTTCTAGTTCAATAAAAATGGAACAGAAATTAGAAAAACAGTTAAACTCAGCATATTGACAGCTTTCTGTAACTGCTTTCTTTTGTGTAAAGACTGTCTTCGTGACCAAAATTATTACTTAAACATGACATTTTGTTGAATGCTGATTAAAATGAAGCCCTCATTTCATTTTATTTTACAGTTTTTTTATATGTGGAAAAAAGATAAGAAATCTCTAATGGACATGAAAGAAAAAGACAAAGAACAACTTCTGGAGGTGCGTCTGCGTTCAACTTTTCATATAATTAAGAGATTTAATGTCAGCTTACCAATCAAAAGATTTAAAATGGAGTCAAGTAATGTATGGTTCTGTATTTCTGGGTTTAGGAGAATTTTTGTGGAGCCTCCATCATTGTGCCTGACCTTGAGGGCCTTCTGTATATGAAGGAAGATGGCAAGAAATCCTGGAAACAGCGCTACTTCCTACTTCGGGCCTCTGGATTGTATTACTCACCCAAAGGCAAGACAAAGGTCAGCTCAGGCAACCCAGACAGTAAAACATGCAGTGCATTTTGAGTTCGGACAAATCCTGCTTATTTCGCTCAATGTACATCAGTTTACTTTTTGATTAAATACTTAATCACAATAGACCTAAATAATAGCCGGCTTGGTGAATATGTCAAGAAATTACATTTTTGTGCATTGTGGGGATCTCTCTCCATCAGGCATCACGGGACCTTGTGTGCTTGGTGCAGTTTGACAATGTGAACGTCTACTACTGCAAAGAATACAGAATCAAATACAAAGCACCAACAGACCACTGCTTCATTCTCAAGGTACAGTTTTCTTAAACTGCTCTAACTTTAAAATTAATAAAGAGTTTGGATCAGAAACATACAGTGTGACAAGGACAAAGATGATAAGTAAACATGAGAACAGTCCACCCTTGTGGGAATATTTTCCAATTCATTATTTATATTTACATTTCTTCATTTAGCTGACACTTTTATCCAAAGTGACTTACAATTGCTATATATGTCAGAGGTCGCACGCCTCTGGAGCAACTAGGGGTGAAGTGTCTTGCTCAGGGACACATTGGTGTCTCACAGTGGATTCGAACCAAAAGGCATGTGTCTTATCCACTGCTCCATCACACACCCTTTTTATTACAATCACATTCATTATATTGAATGTGATCTTGTAGTGTGCTTTACATCTTTAAAGTATTTTTTTATACTGTACTTGCTGGTAATATAATGAGAATGAAATAAAAGCCAATTTACTCTTAAATGTTTCTCAACACACTCAAAGGAACACTCCTCTTTTCTTTTTTTTTTTGGAAATAGGCTTATTTTCCAACTCCCCTAGGGTTAAACAGTTGAGTTTCACTGTTTTCAGAACCATTCAGCAGATCTCTATTAGACCATTGGCATCACTCTCAAAAAAAATGACCAAAGATTTGTGATATTTTTTCCTATTTAAAACTTGACTCTGTAGTTACATTGTGTTCAAAGACTGACGGAAAATGAAAAGTTGGACAATTTTTAGGACAATATGGCTAGGAACTATACTCTCATTCCTGCGTAATAATCAAGGAACTTTGCTGCAGTACCATGGGTGCAGTAGACGCAATGATATTACACAGTCGTAATATGCTTGTGCATGATGCAACTATGTATCACACGAAATACGTTCTGAGGAAACTATTTTGATGTCCTGTTTTGGTAACAATTTACTTGAAGGGGTGTGCATAAGACTAACACGACACCTTCATAATCATGACATGACATATGTCATGAATATGAAGGAAGTTTAATCATGTTTGTGACAACTGTCATTAAGTGTCATTCGCATAGTTATGACATTTTGAATGCAAATATGACATTGTTTGAGATGTCTTTGTTATGACACCTTGACATTACTAAGACAACACAACCTGTCATAACCATGACATAGCAGATTAATTATCAAACTTAAGAAACCACCTAGCTTTATTGGTTAAGATTACAATAAACTATCAGGTGGTTGGTTTTGACATTGGCTGTCATGAACCCATTATAACTTTTTAATGACAAATTCAATGTGTACCACTGTAGTTGAGGTCAAGAAAAATATTCATGACACAGTTATAGTTATATATTTATGGCCTCATGACAGCCAATGTCAAAACCAACCACATGACAGTTTAACTTAATTTTATGTCAAGTTGTCATGACAAAGACACTGCAGGTTCATAACAAATATATCACAATGTCATATTTGCATTTGACACTTAATGACAGTTGTCATAAACATGCACAAACCCTAATTCATATTCAAGACGTCATGTCATGGTTATGAAGGTGTCATATCAATCTTAAGCACACCTCTTCGATGATACGGTTCAAAAACTTAAACTTTGAAACCCGTTTTCAAAAGTTTTCAGACCAAAATGCTGTTGTCAGCCAAAACGCATAAGCCTTGTGTTTTTAGTTTAAAACAGTGTCGTATAAACATCCCCTAAATAATTAAATGGCAAACCTAGTCTCGGGCCAGTGTTAGAATGCAACTTTGGCTTTTTAAGTAATTTCCCATAATAACAAGGTGTCTTTACTCCAGGCAGTAGGGGATTTATCTGATATTTACACACCATAAATCAGCTTGGTTCTCTTTCATACAGTAAGTGTGCACTCAAAGACCATCAAGCTGGTAGGCGTAACCCCCAAACGCTGCTAAACACAAATTGTACAATAATTATTTCAAGGTGTGTGCTTCTTTTATGTCTGGTGCTACCCCTAAAGATAAAAGCCAATGTGTTGCATTAGAATGTCCAGAATGCAGGAAGTGGTTGGGGAAACATCTTTTCCTGTTTAGCGTGCCTGGATGAGAGCTGACATTAACTGTGGCAACATGAAACACAAGGGATGAGGGTTTGAAGATTCACCGAAAGTGAATCTTTCTTAGATAGCAAGGGGCTAAATTCAAGAAACGGTACAGTATTTTATAGTTTATACAAAAACAGCATCTTAAAAAATATAACGGTAACATTGTATTTTACAATGTCATTGTAATAAGTTACACATTGCCGTTACTAACAGTAAACTATGCATCTGCTAAATGACTACATTCAACTAACCATAAACTAAATCCAAATCCACCCAATAGCAAGTACATGTTTATTATTATTACTTAATTCACAATTGTATAATTACACTACAACTCAAATGACACGTTAAAATAAAGTGTAACTAAAATAACAAATGTGTAAACTTTCCAGATCTGGTAAAGAACTTTAAATGCTATACTATATCTTGTGTGAAGAACTGCAGTGGGTCTAAGAGCGAGCCTTGTGGCACTCACAGCTTAATTTGTATTCGTTCAGACAGTATCATTTTTATGCATGCATAGTGCAAACAGTCTAATAAATATAACCAAAACCAATCAAAACTAGCAGTCTAAGAATGCGATCATGGTTCTCAAGCCTTTCCAATGAATAAAGTAGTCTATAATTTGAACAAGACACTATGGTTTTGTAGCCATTCTGCCAAAAGTCGTAGAAGGTCACAACATTTTTTTTCGGGTTATTTTTCAGTTGACTGAGCCTTCCTTTAATTAAGTCTTTGCACACAATTCAAAAATTCTAAATAAAACTTTTTTCCAGTCCATCCTCACCTCTAAGAATATGAATATGATGTATATGATGAAAGTGTTAATACTGGGTTGCTGTTCTAGCAAATTAAAAACGAGGCATGGAAAGGATATCACTAGCTAAAAACTAATTTTGGACAAAGAAAATTATAACTTTAAAAAGCTATTTTCCCATCAACCCATAGGAAATGAAATACCTCAAGTATTATTGCAAAAGCAGGTCCACTGACATGTTGATGTCTTGCTAAGAAAGCATGACAAATCATGAAGTGTGTTTCAGGCTATGTTAATATTAGGGTGGGCTGTGTTTTATGTTTGTCAAGCAATTGGAAAATAAAATGCAAAAATAAAAAAAATGCAATAAATGTAAATGTGCACAATTAAAGCCTGACTCCAATAGAAAAGGGACATGCATTCTTTGCATGTAGGCAATAATTCAAAATTATAAAGCAAAATATTTTTGTGGTTCTTTTTTTTTTTTTTTAGCAATATTTAGGGCTAATCCTAAAGTGTGGCAGGCAATCAAATTTTGATTTTAGTGTGCCATCCACTGTCTCTGCTATGCAACTGCAGCTCAGTAAAATTATGTAATCAATTCTTAATATCAACTGTCCATTTGGAGAAAAACTAATATTAGCAAAGCATGAACTAATATCGAATGCCCTAATACGTAAAAAATAAATAAATAGATAAAACATTGATTAAAGTAAAAATGAATGGTTCCACAAATCTGTAGGGACAGGGGGAACAATATGAAATGCAACTAAATGAAATGTTATTATCTTGGCCTTCTCGGGTGTGTATATCAGGTTTATGTCATATTCATATGGTTATTGTGATCTGCTTTCAGCATCCTCAAATTCAAAAAGAATCCCAATACATCAAGTATCTGTGTTGTGATGATGAGCTGACCATGACTCTGTGGGTGACTGGGATACGTATCGCAAAGGTGAGCAGAAACCAGGCCACACACCAAAAAAAATAAATAGAAAATGATTGTATGATAAATGCAAGAAGACACTAAGTTTAACTTTTTGCAGCAAAAATTGGCATTATAAATTATAGTTTACAATGCAAAAATGTACTGTAAATTGTAGCTGTAATGTGTTCGGTCCTATTGTGAGCCGTCTACTTTGTCAAAAAATTGTAATAACTAAAAAATAAGTCCTTCTACCTTATTAACGGTCAAGTTTTGTCATGATTTTGTCATAGTATGGTAAGCAGTTATATGAAAACTACAAAGCCGCTGTAAGGAAAGCAGCCGGCACTGCAACCTGGGCTAACCGCACTATCCAGGCCTCCTCCAGTGCATCGACACCCTCTCCGACACCTAAAGGTAGAGACAGAGAGCTAAATACATTGTTATAAAATGTATCTTGATCTATATAAGGATTTTGATGGCATTTTTGTGTTTGTCTTTCAGCCAAAGCTGCGAATGGACACGCTCCTCAGCTTCCAAAGGACACCAAGGTACCTCTTAATCTATCAGTTGCCTTAGTAATGAAGAACACCATAATATAATATGATAAACAGTGAGTTCATGGACCATACTTAAGTATGGACAGACACTTAACTGCATGCTAACTGCAATTAAACAAAATATAGTTTAAATGTAGTGACACAGTTAAGTACATCTTTTTATAACATTTCATAATTACTTCTATTTTCTATGAAATATGGTTGAAGTGTACTGCCGAATATACTGTGAAAAGCATTTAAAGTGAACTAAAATATACATATATCATTTCTTTTGAAACTTGTCATGTTTAAAATATTTAATTACACATTTGTCATGATGAAGTTGCCAGTTGGTACATTTAAAATATTTTAACATTATATGTATTAACGAATTACACACTACAGGTAAAATTATAATCAAAATTACATGTGCTCTACTGTAGTATGTTTGTCAACACATTAAAATAAGTGTACAGCAAAGGATTACTAAACCATCATTTTAAAATGTATTATAAATAAAAGTTTAACTGTTAATTTGTCATGATTGCTAAGTACACTTTTTAAAATTGCACTTATTTTTGTTAAGGAACAGTCATGAAAGTGCACTGTCTTTAAATACATATATAGTGGCCTTTTATTTAATTAATGATTAAAATGAAAATATATATTTTTAAATACAGTAGGTAACACTTTACAATAAGGTTCATTAGTTAACTACATTAGTTAACATGTACAATATGTGAACAATACTTCTTCAGCATTTATTAATCTTAGTTAATATTAATTCCAACATTTACTAATACGTTATTAAAATCAACGGTTGTATTAGTTAACATTAGTTAATGGACTGTGTGAACTAACATGAACGCACAATGAACAGCTGTATTTGTATTAACTAACATTAACAAAGATTAATAAACACTGTAACTAATGCATTGCTCATCGTTAGTTCATGTTAGTTAATGCATTTACTAATGTTAACTAATGAACCTTTTTGTAAAGTGTTACCTTTATAATTTATATGAAATCCACCTGAATGTTACTTTTGGTTTGTTTTTGAAGGGTCCTGGCAACCAAACATCTTTCCCACCACCTCCACCTTCAATGGAAACCCTGCCTCCTCCACCACCCGACCCCATGTTGCCTCCTCCTCCTCCTGCTCCTCCAACCAAAGTCAACAAGTTTCCTCCTCCACCTCGATTCCCACAATCCTCCCTCCCACCTCCACCCATGGATGACCTGCCTCCACCTCCTCCTCCTCCAGAAGATGTCGAGCTGCCCCCTGACTTTCTTCCTCCACCGCCTCCTAGTTTTGCACCTTACGGGGGAGACTCACTCCCCCCACCACCTCCAGACCCCATTGCCTCCCTTCCACCTCCTCCTCCTGGTCCCCAAAACTTTGCATCTGCAGGTGGAGCTCCACCACCGCCTCCACCCCCGCCTCCACCACCAGCTCCTGCACCGGCTACCAACCCATCCGTCCGAAAAATGGGTCCACCTCCACCAAAGAGAACTACACCTCAACAAACAGCGCCCCCAGGTGGCGAACTCATGTCAGAACTGATGACAGCAATGCTGAAAAAGCGCAGTCAACAATGATCTTGAATTCAGTTTGTGTAGTTGGACTAAGGAACTGACCGACAAGTTCTTGGCGTGACATTAGGACACACATCTTTAATTCTTTGTTGGTCAATGCTTGTATTACACCACCAGACTAAAATGTAAATACTTTGTACTTATGCACCTAATCAGATTATATGTATTACAAATATTCTATATCATCATTGCTAATGGAATGTCATAATAAATAAGGTCTTGCAGAGTTAACTGTTTAACAGATTTTGGCATGCCTAATTGTTAAACAAGAGTAAACGAGAAGCATGATGCAAAGTTTTTTTTGTACTTTTGTAGAAATGCAGCAATATTACAAAAGACATCCATGTCCATTGTCCATATATGCCGGCAGATTTTTACATATATAACGTCGAACATGGCTCATCCTCCGATCAAATCATCCATTAGAAAGTGTGATTACAATGTCATAAAAAAAAATTTTTGGTACAAATTATGGTGAAATTGGTGATATTTTTTTTTCCATTCGACCCTGATTTAGGAAGAACAGCTGACCCTCAGTTGCTGAGCCCAGGATGGAGGTTTACTGGCATATCCGGCTCTCTCAGCCTCTTCCTGCTCCATAAATGGCTCCATTAAAGTCTTCTGCAACAGCGCCACCTAGAAATACATGAAAAATACTGTCACCTAAGAAAACGACAACCCGAAATGGTCTGTCTGAAGGTGTTGTATGTCTTCAAGTCTTCATTTCACAGTAATATATTAAAGCAAATTAAGATATATGATAAACATGATCATGACAGCATATTAGTTTGACATCACATGTAATAATACCTCTGAAAAGTCATTTTTCTCTGATTTTCTGATAGCAGATTCAGCCATCCAGTTCCTCAACACATACCGTGGGTTTACTCCTGAACAATAGAAACATTATAAATAACATTAAACACAACACAAGAAAATTTTAAAGAAATTAATAATATTATTCAGCAAAGATATATTAATATGAACAATAAAGACATTTATAATATTGCAAAAGAGTTCTATTTCAAATAAACGCTGTTCTTTTTAACTTTATATTAATGAAAACATGGATCAGGGTTTCCACAAAAATATTAAGCGGCCCAACTGTTTTCAAATGTTTCTAAAGGATCATGTGACACTGAAGACTGGAGAAATGACCACAGGAAAAAATTACATTCAACTGAACAAATATATTAATTACACAAATACTGTATTTTCCAATAGAATCATTTATTTTATATTGTAATGATATCTCATAGTATAATAATATCTTGTAGTAATACAAAATGACGGTTTTATTGTATTTTTGATTAAATAAATGCAGCCTTGTTGAGCATAAGAGACTTCTTTCAAAAACAAATCTTACCAATCCTGAACATTTCAACAGTAGTGTACTTTAATAATATATAAACACATCATACATAACATTGCATCATATAACATATACAAACACCTACCTTGCATTCTGTGCTGCCGTGCTGCATCTGAGTCACTTATTAGCCTGTAGAAGATCATTAAAACATAGAGTGATGTTCATTTTAATCCTCTAAAGAGTTTGAGTTTACATTACAGCAACATTACCTTGACAGACGCTGTACATACAGCTGAACCCAGTCTCTGAAATGCTTGTGTGATGAGAGGTCTGAAAGAGCCCACAATGACTGTCAAGAGAGACACAGTCGCAGTTAATGGACTGAAATCATGATTATGGATATTGCAGCTGCTGTGGGAGCGAATGGAGAGGAAACACACCGGAGCAATGGATCCCTTCTGAAGCTGGGACAGGGTCACTTCACTCAGCTGTCTGAAAGTCATAGTGAAGTCTGCTCCAGTCTCCTCCATCATCTCAACACATCACACACCATACAACAATATATGGGTTATTCTCAGGAAATGCTGCCATTTGTGTGATCTACTACTGATTTAACTCCATACTGGACAGTTTGGTTTTTACTTTGATAGTTTTTAACAAATGAAAAAAAAAATTTAAATTATCAAATTAAAAACGTTTATATATATATATATATATATATATGTGTGTGTGTGTGTGTGTGTGTGTGTGTGTGTGTGTGTGTGTGTGTGTGTGTGTGTGTGTGTGTGTGTGTGTGTGTGTGTGTGTGTGTGTGTGCGCGCGCATCTTTCTATAACGGTTTATTGATTCCTTACATTTTTCATAAAAATAAAAATACAATTTTCAATAAAAACACATTCTCCTGAGAAGGGCCAACAAACTTTATCACATTAATTAATTTTAGTACAATTAGAGAAAAACCAATCCAGCTAATATTTACCGTTAAAAGAAATGCAATCACATATGAATCCTTTTCTTCATTTCCCAGAAAGCCCAACTTTGCTTTGAACAGCTCCTGAAATCTATAACAGAAACAATAAAATGAGATCAGGAATGACTCAGAGATGAACACAGTGTTCTAGATTGTCTAATGACTTGCTCACCTTTGATGGTAGATTTGTGAATATTCTCTCAATATTTGCTGAGATCTGAAGTAAATGAATTGACACAAATCACCCATTTTATTCCAGACCAATAACAAGAAAAAGATTAACAATGTCTTACTGTGAAAGCTGATCTGAGGTCAGCAGTGGTCTCAGAGCTTCTAGAAGTTTCTGTAGATTGAACAGGCCAACATCAGCCTGAGCTCCAATACTGTACCGGCCCTCGTCATCAGACGTGTTGGGGACAAAATCTATCCAGAGGAAACAATGCTGTAGCAATAACACCCATTTAACAATACAATTATTATATGTTATTATTATGGCTGACTATTTCACTTTAACTTATTAGAATATAAGATTGTTAAAAAAAAATTCAATTAATCATGCCCCTCAAACCATGTATATATACTGAAAGCATACAAAAATTTACAGTAGATTTAAAGTAGCTTACTATTCATACATTTTTTTTCCACTTTTTTACAGTATTATATATATACGGTATGTGTGTATGTGTTCTTGTATATGGTTTATGAGGACACAAATGTGTATTGTGTGTGTGAAATCTTATATGACAGAAAGCTTAAAAACTAAACTTATAGGAAAATGATTGCTAATATTATGAAAGTTTAAAGGATTAGTTCACTTTTGAAAAAACTTTTGCTGATAATTTACTCACCCCCATGTCATCCAAGATGTCCATGTCTTTCTTTCCTCAGTCGAAAAGAAATTTAGGTTTTTGATGAAAACATTCCAGGATTTTTCTCCATATAATGGACTTCAATGGGAACCGGATGGTTCAAGGTCCAAACGACAGTTAATAACAGTTTCAGATGCAGCTTCAAATGTCTTTAAACGACACCAAACGATGAATAAGGGTCTTATCATGCGAAACGATCGGTTATTTCAAAGCTTATTCCAAAAATGTAACTTTTCTAAGGACAAATGCTAGCCTTTCTCCATTCTGTGAGGCGCGTTTGCAACGTCACGTAATACGTAATTACGTTCAAAAGGTCACGGGCGACGTAGCCAGAACTACAGAGTCAGAGTGTTTACAAGTTGAACGCATAGGTTGAACGTGAAAACTAACTCAAACGCCATTTACAAAAAAGGAATTAAAAGGTAAAACAACGATGTCGGACGATTTTGATTCTGTACTTCCGGCTACGTCGCCCGTGACCTTTTGAACGTAATTACGTATTACGTGACGTTGCAAACGTGCCTCACAATATATTACAAGGCTAGCATTTGTCCTTAGAAAAGTTACAATTTTGGAATAAGTTTTGAAATAACCGATCGTTTCGCATGATAAGACCCTTATTCATCGTCTGATATCATTAAAAGACATTTGAAGCTGCATCTGAAACAGTTATTAACTGTCTTTTGGACCCTGAACCATCCGGTTCCCATTGAAGTCCATTATATGGAGAAAAATCCTGCAATGTTTTCATCAAAAACCTAAATTTCTTTTCGACTGAGGAAAGAAAGACATGGACATCTTGGATGACATGGGGGTGAGTAAATTATCAGCAAAAGTTTTTTCAAAAGTGAACTAATCCTTTAAGTTAGACAAAGAAACATACTTGGGTCATATGATTCCATAAATCCAAAAGGGCCATAATCAAAAGTGATAGAAAGCAGACTGAAGTTATCTGTGTTGCAGACTCCTGTGTGAAGATGCAGATCATGTTATTGTGCATTTTGCGTAAGAAGCTCAATCTATAATGATAAATCTATGTGATAACTAAACAAGTAAAGCAGAGTGAACTAACCATGAGCAAAACCAACCGACATCCAGTGGGCGATTAAATGTGCGGTTTCATTCACCACTCTGGAGAAAAACACCTTCACACAACATGAAAACCATTCAAATATACTGAAGATCAGACAATATAAAATAATCTAGTATTACAGCTGAACAGCAAAGAGACACAGATACTCACCACAAACTTGTCAGGGTTTTTTGTTGCTATAGATTTAAAATGCTCTTTAATTATAAAGTCCAATAATGTCCTGAAAATAAAAATGAAAAAGCAAATAAGAGGGAGAAAAACATATTACCATCCCAGGTTAAAGTTAATGTACCGTAGGACATCTAACTCTCCAGTTCTAGTTAATATCTCCAGTGAACCGATACGAAACCAGGACTTGGCCAGACGCAGAACAACCGCTCCTGAAAGATACAGAGAACAATCACAAAAAGCTGAAGATGGATAAAGAACTTAGCTACTCAATTTTTCATATTTTACCTCTTTCTTTTATGACACTGCCATTATAAAACGGATCCCTCCAAACAGGTTCCTCACTCACAACCAGACTGACAAACAATCAAGGCAAAAAATGGAAAAAGTATAAATAAAAATAATAATAATCTTCAACACCAGACATTTGAATGTGATAAATCCATATATTTCTTTTCCTGTGTGTGTCCATATGTACCTGAGGGCTCTGCTGGTAGGAACTCCCAGAAAGTGCATGGCTTCACTGCACAGGAACTCCCTCACAGAGGAGCGAATCACAGCCCGTCCATCACCAGCCCTGCACACACAACATCATGTCCAGTATACAGCACAACCATTACACTACTGACAGACAGATAATGTAAGATCATTTACAACTAATTATATCTCACAATTACTTCAAAAGCATATCAAAAAAATCGAGCAGCAGGAACTGATATTCACCTCGAGTACGGTGTCTTTCCTGAGCCTTTCAACTGGAGTTCCCATCTTTCACCTTTTCTGGATAAAAAGAGAGATTGTAAAACGGTTAACACTTGTCACAGTTCTGAACTGAGAGATGTCATTGTCCAGACACATGTTTAAGCATTAAGATTTTAAAAAGACAGAATCATATTTGCAAAAAAAAAACAAAACAAGAAGTATAGATGAAACTTTCCATTCTTTAATCTTAAACAACATTATGGGAAAGTTGACATGCATTACAACAGAAAAGTCACATATGACAATAACAACTGATGATTTCTGTTGAACGCTGATGGAAAAGGATGATTTTACCTGTTTGTGTATTCACCCAGCAAATGTGCTCTTCCATCCCCCAGCTGTCCGGCCCAATAACCAAACTATAATAATAATAACACATGTTGACATGTTTGCTTTGGTTGTCTTATGCCATCGCTGTCAGTGTGAAATGTTTGTCAGTTTTACCTGATGGCCTCCGTATCTGTGTGCCAGTGGAACAGAGCCAGGAAACAGTTTCCCACCACTGACACAACGGACAAACTCTTCATTCTGAATCACAGACTCATTTAGATCCAAAATATGTAAAACATCCTGAAACACACAAAAGAGCCTGAATATATGCAGAAACAACATTTACAATAAAGTACTGTGGTGGTCCCATGGTTTTAAATCATTACGTTTTAAGTTGTTATATAACAATATATTGATGTGCTTTAAAAAATAAAAACATTTATTTTGATGTGTTGACTAACATAACTAGATGCACTAGAATTTTAACTGTAACTGTTAATGTTTCATTTAAATAATGTAATAAATTGCAAATTCATTATTACAAATGTGGAAGTAGAAATTTGTATTAAATTCCATGATTTAAATGTGAACGTTTAAATAGAAACCATATTATACCATATACTAACCAATTTCATATAAATATGTAGGCTATAAGTAAGTGGGTCAAAAGCAGCACACTTAAGTTTTTCAACTAAATTTCATATAAATTAAAAACTGTAATAAATGTTCATTTAATTGCAGCTAACATGATGCAATTAAGGGTCTGAAACATTATATTCAGTTTGCACCTAAGTGTAAACTTTTAAAATTGCCTATATTATTTTCATAATTTTACTACTGGAATGGAGTGTAAAAAAACAAAACACAGACGGTACTAGCTCCCTCCATTGTATTTTTCTGTTTCTTAAATTACATACACAGTCACTGCAACAATATCACCAGGCAGACAGTGAAGGGTTTAACTACAGTGAAACATAGGTTTTCTGTAAATGATGATGAGTGTATGGGTTTATTGACCTGTGCCACAGCAGCCAGTGTCAGAGGCTCTTTCAGAGGAGAGGGCTGAGACTCTGAAAACACACATCTCTTCACAGTACGAATAAAATTACCATCTACCTCATCAAGAGGGAGAGCATCTGTAAAACACACAGGAAGTGATTAGACATAGTCAACGTTTAAGATAGCATATTGGCACTCGTACCTGTATCTTACCTAGTAGTTTATGTGATAGTGCCAGTGGTATTTCTCCACAGTGTTTCACATTGCTATAAAAGTGACTCTTATCGAACTCTCTTTCATTACAACTTCCATTCTCACAGAATTCTTGTTCGTCCTTAAATGTAGCGATGGCGACGACCGATAGTAGAAATAAAAATAATGTGAAACCATGTTTTTTCATTACATCAAACTCACAGGCTTATGTTTACTATTTGTCCTTTACTTCCTTACATCACGTAACTAGAGGAAAACATTGAACTGTCACACAAACAATCCTTCAATATTCCACCAGAGGGCGCTCATCGGCTCAACAACCCGAATGCTCCATGTCATATTCGGGACAGTTATGTTTTGTTTTTGTTTTTTGTTTTTTTGGAAATGTATACGCCTTATAAACCATAACCGATTAAATCTATTAATTGTAAGGGTTCAGAAGCTGTCGTATAATTGGAAACTCTCGGAACTTTCTCACTATGATAAAATATGTGTCTGGTCTCTAGAGTCTATAGACAATGATCAGAGACGACTGTGATTGGTCAATCCCCAATCTGTCCTGTTAAAAGTAACAGGGACCATGTGACCAGCCGTCTATTAAAAATACTGAATACTTAAAAATTCTAAATACTCCTGGAGAAGATTGAGATCTATGATAAAAATGAATGTAATGAAAATGTAATTGTTTTAATGTAAAAATTGAAACATGTTTTAAGTTCCCCAAGTTATGGGCCAATACGGAACGTCCATTTTATAACAATTCTGCAGCACATCATTGGGAGGGCGATGTTCATAAATATTCATGAGTTTCCGGGGCATGCACGTCAGCAGATGTAATGGATTATTTCACAAAAAGGTAAATATGACAGTTTCAGTTAATAATGTTTTTATTCGTTTGCACGTGTTGTGGGCCCTGACAATGCAGGCATTGAATTACTTTAATGTTAGGATAAAGCACAGAAAACTTCAACTAGTTGTATGTATTCAACCCATTTTTGTCTACAACAAATTGCAACAATTTACATTTCTTCAAAAATATCACAGACTTTGTGAGATGATCATGAATACAAGGTGGTCTTTTGTTACAACCTACCCCACCACTAGAAGGAAAAATAAAAAGATTTGAGAAGAGAGTCTACCTTAATAATTAAAAAAAAAAAAAAAGTAATTGAGTTGGAAGTGAGCCCACAAAAACTTTTGTTTATGGATAGAAAATAGAGAGAATATATTCATTAGCCTTGTTGGAGGTATTAGTATAATAGCAAATAATAAAATAAAACACTGGGCAAAAAAGGGGGTTAACTAAAGTTACACAAATCAATGAATTCACAAGAAGAAGAAAAAATGTTTTAATGTTTCATCATCATGACTAGGAACATCAACATATTTGGTCAAATTGACAGGGTGTATTTTGTGCAAGATATTAAATGGGACTTGTTTGGTCTTGTTGGGAATAAAGTATTAATGGGGCAACAACTGCTATTCTCCAGTCATCCCAATGGGATTTACCTTTAGGGACAATGTGTTATTCTTGTTATTTATTTATTTATTTATTTTGATAATATGTTGAATATTTTCTAATATATCAGTATTACATGTATTATCATAAATACTAAATCCATTTAATAACTAAGCAAACTCTTTAATATGACTGTGGTTATATAAGTGACTCTTTTCAAGCTGGATGGTGGCAATGGCTCTGAGCACAGTGTTATATTCTTTAAAATAAATAGAGAAGCCATGAACAGCCATGAGGTCCTTAATAGAAAAAATATTCGAAGAATCATCACATACTGAAATCCTCTGATTATAATTATTCCAGAAAATAGTTCTGTGTGGTGAAAAATTGTGGATGTAACCTAACTTCCATGCAAGAAGAGCCTGCTGATGAAAATTAAATAATGTGAGCGGCAGTTTATTAGGATTATAATATTATTTTTAAATAAAAGTTTGGCCAGCTCCAACTTTATTAAATATATGTTTTGGGGTAACATGTAGCTCCTATTTGAAACTATACACACAAGAAAAAAATGTGTGTATAGGCCTAGAAGACTGGAGCTAAATAAGTATGGTCAATCTTGTGAGATCATAGTTAAGTTTAGGCTATTTAGCGGATGTGAAGAGGAGGAGGAATGTAGAAGTGGTTTAGAGTAGCTATTAAATAATACGAAATCAGTGCTAGTTTGCATTTAAGTGAGATGTGGAATAATAAAATAATCTGACTGATATAGACAGGAGACCTGATCACTTCTTGTCTCGAACACCCGCTTTCACTACACAGTGCATACCGCCCTCTACTGGGGAACACAGGTATGACAAATCTGCTTTGGCTCCGCCTCCTACAAATGATTTATCCGTGTAATAAATATGATTATTTTGAGTTTATCAGCACACAAAACTGACTGGAGTTATTATATACCTTTAACTTACTGGTGATTAGACTCACGTCATCTGCCTAATGGCAACCATTAAAACACGACTTCTTCACATTTATTTTGGTCTTGTGAATTCACATATAAGTTCTGGAAAGACTTAAATTCATTTATAGTTGAAAATATTCTTCCTGAGTTCTCCCTGTACTACAAAAATGTAATTTTTGGTTGCTTTAATGACTGTGGGAAGGACAGTAGTGCACTCTTTCTAGTAAACCTAATCTTATTCGTTGCCAAATTCCATATCCATAAGTGTAAATTCAGTAATAAAAAGCCTCTTTTTTCTGTGCTAAAAGCTGAAATGGAACAGTATATTTGTACTATCTCTTCTATGCAAAACAAATAAGCTGTTAAAACTGTGGTTATTTGTAATACGTTTAATGTGTTTATGTGATTAAATGTTTTTTTTTAATTTATTTTACTTTTTTTCTTTTATTACTTTAACTGTACTGTTGATTATTTTTTGACATTTTTTATTATTTATCTTAATTTTTTGTTACTTTGATTGTAATGCTCTTTACGTTTAATAAAAAAAATAAATAAAAAAAAAACACGACTTCAGCAGTTTAATCACGTGCCCATTTTACGTGCTCACTCTCACAGATAATATCGAAAGTAAAAGAAAGCTGATGTTTAGCTATTTTAATCAGACAGTCCATTCCTTAAAATATTATTAGATGTTAAATACAAACTTTTATTAAATGGTAGGCAGGGATTTATGTGTAGACTACTCGATGGAACAGATGGAGGAGTTTGAATCGGTTAATGTAGCTACATTTTGATTAAGGTTTTGTGTACGAGAGCTTTTACAGGTGACTTCCTCATTATTTTCTGTGAAAGGAAATGAACGAGGTTTACATCGTATAAGCCTATCTTTCATGATTTTTCAAAAGATCTCTATTTATTTCTCCAACTCTCACGATCTGTTCAGATCATTTATAAAGATGTTTAACAATGTTTAATTACATTAGTTTTGTGTTTGTCATTTCCATCCAGAGTCAGTGGAGATCAGACTGTTTCAACTGTTCAGCTTTAGCATGGATGACAGACAAACATCCAGTGATGCAGATTTTTCTAAAGGATGCAGGTACTAATAAACGCATTAAATAACATTTTATATAATAAAAAACATTTTTTTAATCTTTTTTTTTAAATGTATTGTTTCTAAATAAATTTCTTGAAATAGTGTCTAAACCCTCCTGGAGTGCTTTTCATTAAAACATTTTGTTTTTGTGTTTCGTTGTTCTGTTATAGTTCAGTTCAGCAGGAGAGATCAGATCCAGCGCCCAGCTGTGTGTCTTTGAGGAGTGACAAGTCTATGGGTTATCCAATAGATTTTAAGAATGACAGTACACCGACTGATCTCAGGTATATAACATTTTAAAATACATGATTGGCATTTTTATATTATTGAGTTTTTGTATTTTGCATTTATGATATTCATAGACACTGTTGTCTTCACCTGATGAAAGAGAGACATATCTACAAAGTGTTCAATTTTTTAGCTTGGACTCAGATACAGCATTTTATTGAATGTGATGCTTGAATTATTTTAAACACCCAGCTTTTGTGTACATTTTAAATGTACTGTAGTCCTTTTTGTTGGTACCTGTCCTGGGCTTTGTGGAATACATTCAGGTAATGTGCAGCAGGTGCTGCTTCTGTGGAGGCCTTATATTCAGAGCTCAAATAATGTCCGTATATTCTGACCTCAAACCCATCATAACCTCCTCCAAAAATGACCTACAAATGGTATCAATGTTATACAATTAAACGTTATGAAATTAATCAAATTGTTGGTAGAAAACATTGTTTCTACTCAGATAATCACTGGGACAGTAGCATCTGCACATATTGCCAAATAGGCAAGGTTTTGTTATCAGTTGAAGATCCTCCTTTATGCCTTTAATGACAGAGTCCAATATCTTTAAAGCATACTTGAAGGAAATATGATGGCTTTAACTCCTCTGTTTTTATTCTGTTGATTATTCTGTTGATTCTTATGAAAAGAATAGTGAGGCCGATTTAGTTAAAAACTTTTGTAATTGCATTTTTTTTGTTTCTCTTTTTATATTTTGCTACTTTTATTCTCACCATTAAAATATCTCTAATAACTGGCATGATGTTAAATTATAAGCAATCAATAAACAATGTATTATTTTAATTTGATATGTAAAATATACAAGCTTTCTCAAGCTAACACAAAGTTTGTCTTGACACATTTTCTTAAATAGGTTTTGTTTTTAGTATTATTACAGTATTATTACAGTTTTTCCCTTGAGCAGTTAATTTATTAATATGTGCATTTACTTATTAACTGTTGATAGAATTATTCAGGTGATGTAAAAAAAATCCACCAATATCCAAGTTTCTGATTTTGATTCTCTTTGTGATGTTTAAGTTCAATCCCACCACAAAGATCAGCAGTAACAAAACCCGTCTGTAAGAAGAATGACCAATCTATGAATCAACTACAGGACTTTAATGAAAGCAGGTATGCTGTGTGGAATTTTTGATTGAGAATTAAAACACATTAACAATTAACACATTTCATAAATCTTATGATAAGTTCTTTGTCATGACAAATAAGACATTTTACTCTATATTTGTATCTCTATATTTAACTTATGTTTGCAGCAATGAAGTCCTCAACACATTTAGATCAAACCTGATGAAGAAGTTTAAGTGTCTGAATGAGGGAACATCAAAGCAGGGAAACCCAACACTCCTGAATGAGATCTACACAGAGCTCTACATCACAGAGGGTGACGGTGGAGAGATCAGTAATGAACATGAGGTGAGACAGATTGAGATACAATCCAGGAGAGCAGCAACAGAAGACAGACCCATCAAATGCAATGACATCTTTAAACCTTTACCTGGACAACACAAACCCATCACAACTGTGCTGACAAAGGGAGTCGCTGGCATTGGAAAAACAGTCTCTGTGCAGAAGTTCATCCTAGACTGGGCTGAAGGCAAAGTGAATCAGGACATCCAGCTCATATTTCCACTGCCTTTCAGAGAGATCAATTTGATGAAGGGCAAAACATTCAGTCTTTCAGATCTTCTTCATATTTTTTTCCCTGAAACAAAAGAAATGGAAATATCTAGTGGCAAATATAAAACGTTGTTCATCTTTGATGGTCTGGATGAGTGTCGTCTTCCCTTACATTTTCAAAGGAATCAGACTCTACGAGATGTAAACAAAAATAAATCAGTGGACGTACTGCTGACAAACCTCATTGCGGGGAATCTGCTTCCCTCTGCTCTCATCTGGATCACCTCCAGACCAGCAGCAGCCGATCTCGTCCCGTCTCAGTGTGTCCATCGAGTGACAGAGGTACGAGGCTTCAATGAGCCACAGAAGGAGGAATACTTCAGGAAGAGAATCAGTGATCAGAGTCTGGCCAATACAATCATCACACACCTGAAGTCCTCAAGGAGCCTCTACATCATGTGCCACATCCCAGTGTTCTGCTGGATCTCAGCCACTGTTCTGGAGAAGATGATGAGCGAAGAAGCAGAGAGAGGAGAGATTCCCAAGACTCTCACTCAAATGTACACACACTTCCTGATCCTTCAGACCAACATCAAACATGAGAAGGACTATCAGAAGAACCTGACAGATGAAGACATGATCCTCAAACTGGGCAAAGTGGCTTTTCAGCAGCTTGTGAAAGGCAATGTGATCTTCTATGAGGAAGACCTGAGAGAGTGTGGCATTGATGTGACAGATGCGTCAGTGTACTCAGGATTGTGCACTCAGATCTTCAGAGAGGAGTTTGGCTGGTATCAGGGAAAAGTCTTCTGCTGGTATCAGGGAAAAGTCTTCTGCTTTGTTCATCTGAGTGTTCAGGAACATCTAGCAGCTCTATATGTGCACCTCTGCTTCACAAACAACAACAGAAATGTATTTGACACAGGGTCTTTGTTGTCTGTGTTTAAGGACTGGTTTAAACTCAATTCATCAGAATATGTTTCATTTTCTGAGCTCCATGAGAGAGCCGTGAATGAGGCTTTACAGAGTAAAAATGGGCATCTGGACCTTTTCCTGCGCTTCCTTCTGGGTTTGTCAGTGGCAACTCACCAGATTCTCCTTCAGGGACTAATGACACTGAGAAGAAAGTCTAACAGCAATGACAAAACAGCTCAGTTCATCAAGGAGAAGATCAGGACCATTGACTCTCCAGAGAAATCCATCAATCTGTTCCACTGTCTGAATGAACTGGGTGACCATTCACTAGTGAAGGAAATACAACAGTATCTGAATTCTGGAACAATAAGTGAAGCCAGACTCTCTTCATCTCAGTGGTCAGCTGTAGTTTTTGTGTTGTTGACATCAGAGGAGAAGCTGGATGAGTTTGATATTAATAACTTTGTTGGAGAAAACAGTAAAGCTGGAAAACTGAAGGTTCTTCAGAAGCTGCTGCCTGTGATTAAAGTTCAGTAAGTATCAGTGGAAATAATCACTTTACTGTTACAACAAAAGAAAATCAAAAGATCATAAATCATACAAACAGTTATTGTTTCAGTAATAGCAATATGGCATACTGGTTATTGTTTTTCTGAAATTATTTTTATTTGAATTTAGCTATTTTATTGATGGGAAAAGGTCAAAATCTTTAAATATGACATCATAATATATATATATATATATATATATATATATATTGTCACGGTGTGGGTGCAGGCAGAAGAGCAGACTGAGTCCAGAATCACGATAAAGAGACATTTAATTCCAAAAATACAGGCAGGAGGACGGGGTTTCACAGAGTAACATTCAACATTGACCGACAACCACAGAATGAAACAGAGGGAACTAAATACATGGAAGAATCAGACATAATGAGGTGAAGACAGGTGATACAGATGAACAGGACGCTGAACGGGAGGCTGATGAGGGAGTGAGTTCAGGTGTGCAGACGAGAGGATCATGGGAAGTGTAGTGCTGGAGACGTGCAAAAATTAATTGCGATTAATCGCATCCAAAATAAAAGTCTGTGTTTACATAATATATTTGTGTGTGCTGTATATAATTATTTTGTATATATAAATACCTATGCATGCATGTATATATTTAAGAATTATTTGCGCTTAAATTCTATATAAATATATATAAATACATAATCGTGTTGTGTCCATTCAGAATCTTGTTCTTTAGCACACAGAGTTCGTTATCCTGAGTCCATTTGTCTTTTATTCACACTTAACTCTCCCATCGTATCTCCCATTGTAATCTGTGACACCATAACCTCAAGGTTCCTTAGTAATTTTGAGACAATGCCATCCATTGGTGACAAAGTGCAGTGTTTGCTTTTCTCTATCTACAAATTGTCTACTTTTTCTCTATTTTCTATTGATTTTTGTTTTCAGTTAATAGTGTTTACCAAGTCTGATTTTCATCTCTCTACAGTTTGAGTGATTGTGGAGTCACAGATGAAGATTGTGCTGCTCTGACTTCAGCTCTGAGATCAAACCCTTCACACCTGAGAGAACTGAATCTGAATGATAGAAACCTACGAGATCTGGGTGTGAAGCTTCTCTCTGTTGTACTGGAGGATCCTGACTGTAAAGTGGAGAAACTCTGGTAAGATCATCTACGGTATATCATAGTCAGACATGTTATTGTCTTCTGTAAGACTAAATCAGGGCTCCACAAGTCTGGCACTGGAGGGCCGCTGTCCTACGGAGTTTAGCTCAAACCCTGATAAAACTCCCCGTCCTGTAACTCAGACATGGATCAGCTTGTTCAGGGTCTTTAATTAGGGTTGGATCTAAACTCTGCAGGACATCGGCACTTCAAAACCAGATTTGAGGAACCCTGGACTAAATGCTTTGATGGAAATTTTAGGACCACACTGCAGAGAATTAATTTATTTCTCAGTATTTTTGTCTCCTTTTCTTTTTTGCATTCTTAATTGAAGATGCATTTACCTGAGAAGCAAAATGACTTGTTAAAGGGGTCATATAATGGTACATGCACTTTTACAAGTTGATTGTACTGCAATGTGTGTTGTCAGTGCCTGTACACAACCATCATTTAATGATAAAAATTCATCCAGTGGTTTTGTTTTTATCTCCTTTTATGTTTTCCCCTGCCTCAAATCATAGACCGTCATTGTTGATACACTGGAGCAGAATGGCGTCAAAGCGATTTCTGTTCTTGGGTGCAATAACAAACAGAAATTATTCTGATGTTCCTAAATCTGAACCGCTGAAGACGCAGTGGCTGAGTTTTGTTTATGATGGGAATATTACCCACGATCAACGTCATTACTTTCTTGTTTGCGTGAATCACCAGACTGCTTTTAAACGAGGATCAGTATAAAGCTGGTTTTGCTAAGAAGCTGCTCCTGAAAAAATAATCGGTACCAACTATTTATGTTCCCTCTGCACCTAAAGTTTTATTAATCTTTATATTAATCTTTGCAAATCGCGGGAAAAAGTTTTTCATGACCATTAGTAACGTCAATCAGTCAATGAACTTACGTATACATCAGTAAACACAGCGTTCGTATCTCACTACTCTACCCTGCCAGTGCATACAAAGATAGATCAAAGTAACATTACGTTAACCAACCGTTCAGAAACATCCTCAAGCCTTAATTGTCGAACTTCTTTGTGGCCGTCATCTTGTTCCGGTGCAACTCCGGTTCAAACTGATATGGTTGCACAGAATATGTGTCCTCAGAGACTCCCGCTGCCATTCTCTCTCCAAAACTTTCAACTGTTGTCAGGGAAACACTCAGAGGGGCGAAGTTTTTTATTTAAAGGCATAATGCACTGAAACGGCTTGCTGAAAACTGCTGATTTTGACTAGGTAAAATGGTGTTTTCTTAAAATACTAATGAGAATTTTTAATAAAAGTATATTACAAAGTTTTCATTTAGACCATAAACATTCATATTAACTTGTACAAAAATGGCATTATAAGACCCCTTTAAGTCTTGTATACTGAAAAATTGCTTATGTATCTTGTTTAAGATACATAATTTTTAGATATTAGATATTTAGACTACGTCTGGATCGGATTCAGAACGATGATCAAAACACAGATATTGTAGATCAAGTCCAACAAAACCCCCAAATCTTCAAAGTCCTATACCTCGTCCTGCGTTAAAATTTCACTAAGAAACATTTGGCAGTTTTGATTTTACATATGCATCTGTGTACATACGTGACCCATTCTGGCAAAATGAGTCGCAATGAGCAAATATTCATGACTGAGCGACACCTGTTTGAATGTTATAATCAAATTCAATTTTGAGAAAAATCAAGTTAAAGTTTTCTGAAGGTTCCAAAACAAAATCCTCTACCAACAATACCTAAAAATCTCTGGTAATAACATTAAATTTGGCACACACCAAGTCAAAACCAAATATCTATAGGATCAATATATATTACACTTTTTTCCCCATGATCCCACAATTGTTTGATTAACATTAATGAAAAAGACTATATATTCAGATCCACTGTACTGCGGATCTAATATAATATTACACATCAGATGTTTTTCCCCTACAGTTAACCAATTTCTGTTTAATTGCTACTTTGACCCCTGTTCAGTTCAGTTCAGTTCAGTTCCTCTTTATTCATTTCCCGAAGGCAATTTGGTTGAAGCAAAACAGGTATACACATAAAAAAAAAGAAAAACACTTGTCATACGCATTCACAAATAAATACATTTACATAGAATTTAAAAGCTTTACAGCTGATGGAACAAATGAATTTTTAAAACGATTCGTTTTACTAAGCGGCATTCTATACCGACTACCAGACGGAAGAAGTTCGAACTCATAGTAGAGCGGGTGAGAAACTTCAGACAGAATGTTCTGTCCTTTACCCAAAGCCTGTCTCTGATATAACTTAGCCATGGTCATCTGCTTCCTCCCCGTTATTTTATTTCCTTGATTTACTATCCTCTCAATTCGATTTTTATTTTTCACACTCAGAGAATTGAACCAGCACATCAATGAATAGGATATACATGACTCAATATAGGATCTATAAAACATACACATCAATGTTTTATCCACATTAAAAGACCTTAATTTTCGCAAACAATGCAACCTTTGCTGTCCCTTCTTACACAAGGCATCAGTATTTGCGGAAAAATTCAGATTACTATCTAATACTGTACCCAAGTACTTATACTGTTCAACACTCTGAATGCCCTCTCCATTTATAATTATTTGCTTATCATCAATCCATTTCCCTCTCACTCTAAAATCAATACTCATCTCTTTAGTCTTTGAGACATTAAGTTTTAAAAAAGCATTCTGACACCAAGCAACGAAGTCATCAACCACAGGACCATGCATAGAATCCTCCTCACTCAATAAGCTAACAATTACAGAGTCATCAGCAAATTTTGGTATCATTAGATGAGGGCTTAATGCTAATTATTTTGTGAAAATCTCCAATTCTACCATTTTTCACTTGTTTTGCCTATAGCTCGTAATTATCTTGTATGTATTCTGACTTATTTTGCCAGCACGGGTCACATATGATATCACATGTTTCTGCTTCTTCTTCGCCTGTGTTTTGATCAGGAGATTCAGTTCTCTTTCAGAAGATGTGTAATAGCAATCCCGGACATATAACAGTGAAAAAATTGAAAAAAGTTTCTGTGAATGGTGGGAGAACAGTAAATATTAAAATGCCAACAAGAAAATGTCAGTGCGAGCTAAATAATATTTATTGGGGCAGTTTGTGTCATATAGTGATGTCACTATGTACAGGCTTATTTTCACACCTCCCCCACTGTAATAATAATAATTTTCCCGATAATAAAAAAAAAAAAAAACATACTACCTGAACACTGATCTATCGGCGCACACTCCTAGTCATCACCATGACTGAATGAATAATTCAATATTATGTATCATTTTGAATCACAGAAGCAGGTATTGTAAATCATGTGGCTGAGTAAGGGGCCTAGTGACGCCACTGGTACAGGTGTTACGGATCAACTGGGGATCATGTTAACTGAGGACATGCAACTGCATGCACGCAGACAGTTTTACCTGGATTTCCAGCAGATGTTAAACGGTGACAGATTCGTCACAGCTATTTTTTTTGTCACTGAGCAGATTTTCAAAGCTTTCCACTTTATTTTTAAATGTTTGCATCATATTATGGCTCTGTTGTTTACTCTGCGTTGCTCCGCTGTATGTTTCAGACGCCTAAGGGAAGTTTTAATGTGCTTTTGCGACACACAGACCACGCCCACATTATTTTTTTACATTCGTTTCAATAAAATTTGTATCTGATGACAACTGTAAATATATTAAATAAATTATACTATTGACATTGTGTATTTGCAGTGCGTGTGTATTCGCAGATTATTGTTATGATGCCAATTTGTGGCTTAAAGGAGAACTCCGGCGCAAAATGAACCTTTGGTCTAATTACACATTGTTACCTAGTCAACCGTTATCAGTGATTTGTTTTCATGATTGCCGAATGTAAATAGTTTTATCTCTAAAAACCGTTTAGCCTATAACGCTAGTATATGGGGCATAGAGTAATGACAAATAAAAATCGCTTGTTATTACCACTAACAAGGCTCAAAATAGCCCCATGCTAACACGGTAGCATAAAAAGGGTCCCTATATTCAAAACGAAGCATTGAGAACTTTGTCAGTCTCCATACAGGTTAATAAGAAGATGTTTTATACATACAGTCAACTTCGCAAATACATGAAGAAGCCATCTTTGAAAAATAGTCTCCACCAGTCGATCTACGAACGCCGATCCTCTATGCCCTATATACTAGCATTATACTAGCGTTATAGGCTAAACTGTTTTTAGAGATAAAACTATTTACGGCATTCATTTCATATTCAACATATTTCGGCAATCATGAAAACAAATCTCAGATAACGGTTGACTAGGTAACAGTGTGTAATTAGACCAAAGGTTCATTTTGCGCCGGAGTTCTCCTTTAATTTAAATTGAGCAGCAATAGAGTGCCGAAGTGATGACGTCACTTTGTAGGACAACCCGGAAGCTAGCGGCGCATGGGTTCCCTCGGTCGAAGCAATGCATTTTCCCCATAGACTTTTGGAAAATCGCAAAAAATAAGATCTGTGTTTAACAAAGGGTTATGACCCTTACACGTTTTGTCTAGCAAGATAATCTTTACAAGGTAATCCAAAATTTATACATTTTGAAGCCTATATAAAGATTTTAAAAAACACAATCAGACTCAATAAAGTTTAAAAAACCACAAGCAGGTTATAACTGTGTGTTCTGTGTCATAGATCAAAACGTGAAAATATTTAGAGGCTTTGTTCACCACAGACCTTATTTCAGGCGATTTAGCAAAAACCCATTCAAAAATCCCATAGGCTTTAGAGCGAGGGAACCGTAATGCTAAAATGCTAACTCACTTCCGCGTTTTGGCCTACAGAGTGACGTCGTAACTTCGGCACTCTAAACTGCTGTGGTTAAAGGGACATGACAAGCATTTATTTATTTATTATGTATGAATTTTAATGTTGCTGAGGAATGAGTTAAAACATTAAACATACATAAATGTCCATAAAGAGTGGTGAAAATTGATAAGACATAGCTTATGGATTCAGTGATTTACCCACAGCATTTATATAGGGGAATGTTCAACAAACATATTCATTATAACAGACCTATGAAAGCAACAAAAGAAAGAAAAAAAATAGGCAATTGTGCATGCATGTAGGACAGCTGTTTTTGCCATCTATGAAGGTCTGACCACACAGTCTCACCTTCTGAACATTCAATCTAAGGAAGGATGAACAAAATAAGTTAGAATAGTTACATGCTAATGAAGAACAGTTACTTGTTTTGCAATGTGTAACATTTTTCTTACCCATTGGCCAGTTTGGCCTTAATACCTACTGCTCTCCATCTAATGTAATCATGTTATATTAGAAAATAAATGTCACAGTTGTATTACCTTTCTATAGTAAGAGCAATTTAACACACAATCACCCTTCACTGAGAAATGTTCACATCTCCTCTTAGTGTTCCTTTTATTGAGCAGCTGCCAAATAATGGTTATCCTACAAAGTTTTTGATTTGTGTAACTTTAATTGCATGAATTTGTTGTGGTAGTCTATGGCCTAACAACAATGACACCAGTAACAATAATGACACTTAATTTAGCTATAGACCTTTTTTTAATCTGTTCCTAAAATATAGCAGATGACAACAATGAATGCACATGATGTGATGAATAACAAGTAAAGAGAATATGTTCAAGGATTAGTTCACTTTCAAAAAAGGTTTTTGCTGATAATTTACTCACCCCCATGTCATCCAAGATGTCCATGTCTTTCTTCAGTCGAAAAGAAATTAAGATTTTTGAGGAAAACATTCCTGAGTGAGTAAATTATCAGCAAGAAATTGTTCGAAGGTGAACTAATCCTTTAATGAATTTCATGGTACCAGTCAAATGAAGAGCACTGGCATAATTTATATTACATAAAAAGTTGCCCAAACACATTATATTTTATTTATAAAACTCATAGACCATTCTATTTCTCTTGTTAAAGATGTCAGCAAATAAGTAAAGCATTTCCTATTGTTTTAGAGAGGGTCATGCTATTCATGTGAGGTGACAAATGATTAAGAGGTTAGTGATGTAGGTGAAAATTAGACATAGGCTACAGAATATCAGGCCTATATATTTGTAATGTCATCATCACAATATCATATGTTCTGCTTATTTCAGTAATACACTGTTTTTCACAGGACTTTAATCACTAAAGACAAAGTGTTCTCTAAATGTCCAATACAAGACATTAGATAGGCTACACAACATTCAAGTTTATGCTACTGAGCATAATGTACAATGCTTGAGCAACTTATATTGCATTTCAAGGTACACATTTTAAAGACTCATAAGTTCTTGTTTTGCCTGGGAATTGAACCCATGACTCTGGTGTTGCCAGCACAAAACTCTACTGTTTGAGCTACATGAATACTCTATTAAATGGTTTGATTACTTGGTTGATATGCTTATACAAAAATGCAGTAGTAAATACAGAATTGTTCTGAAAGAAACAAAGGAATTATTTTTTATTTTATGAATCTTTTGAAAATGTTACATTAAGTTCATGAGATAATTAACTTCATGATATGGATGATACGGACGCTTCACAGCTGGTTGTTCAAAAAAGAGATCTAAATATCATCAGAGTAAAATAAGCTGATAAGATAAAAAAATAATTGATCCATTATAAAATTAGGCTATATATGCAGATCGAAAAATGCAACTTGTTGAAAAAATGTAAATTACTTTGCAATTTATGTTTCTTTTAGGTAGCCTATATACTTTAACTTAATCTATATCAGAGAATGTCTATATCTGTTGTTATTTGTGATTAGAACACATGATAACACAAGTGCGCTGACGACAAGTCTTTTCATCCAATGAAAGCGAATGACCCTTGTTAACATGGGCGTGGTTTCTGAGCTTGTCACTAAAGTATGTTAAACTTCTTTGAAAATGCGTCAAATTCAAAGGAATATCATACACTGCAAAAACAAAGGGCTTTATTTGCATACCGTGTATACAACTGGTGAAATATTCGTTTTTATCGGTGAGAAATAGGGCACGAATCTGTCGCTGTTAACATTCTGCTGGAAATCCAGGTAAAACTGTCTGCGTGCACGCGCGCATCCCCAGTTAACATGATCCCCAGTTGATCCGTAACACCGGTGTTGTGCCTAATTTCGACCCCCTGCCAAATTATTACCCCCCTCGTTGAAGTCAGTACCTGATTGCCTAATCCCAACCCCGCCCCTAATCTTAACCCCTCCCCCACAACTAATCCTAAACCTACCAATACTAGGGGGGTAATAATTTGGCGGGGGTCGAAATTCGGCACAACACCGGCAACATGTGAGAAGTGCCGGTACACAAGAAAAAGTGAGGGTACTCTACAGTTTAAAATATAGAAGTGCTGGTGTGTACCAGCCGCACTGCAGAAAAGTGCCGGTGTTGTGACGAATTTCGACCCCGTCAAATTTTTACCCCCCTAGCATTAGTAGGTTTAGGATTAGTTGTGGGGTAGGGGTTGGGATTAGGCAATGACTCAACGAGGGGGGTCATAATTTGGCAGGGGGTTGAAATTAGACACAACACCGGCTCGGCTCACTTCGAGCACTACACACGGTTTATACAGTAGAGAACCGTTGAGAATATTACTGTAAAAACATCAACTCATTTACAGTCTACAAAAAAAAAAAAAAAAACTTAAAAAAAAAATATAGCCTATATAACAATGCACTTGGGGAACCGGGGCCGTTTCTTCATACCTTGATTACTGTTATCTGGATTTTACTGTTGACGATTTTACATGATCCAGGATTGTTAGGTTAGGTAAAAACTGACTATTACAATGTAGTCTATCACAATAGACACAGTTTACTCACTGATAGATTTATTTGTGAGGGAATAATGACCTAATAACTGTTGGAGTCTGTACGATGTAGGCCCACAGATAGTCTGAGCCGTATATTAATTTACAGTTATTATCGGAGTGGTTTGTTGAGGCGCTGGAGATGCAGTTTACTTGTGGATGCAGTTAAATGCTCTGCGATTAGAAAAAATGTTCTCGCCCCATAAGAAACATTAACAAATCTGCTTTACAGGAACAATTAAATTTTATTGCTAATTACAACATTTAAATGAAAATGTAAAGTATAAATACTAGAAATAGTGAAATAATGGAAATAATTAGGAATCATGTAAAAAAACAGTATATTTAATTTATCTATTACAACTTTTATACATCATTTTGGTTGCTTGGCTGTTTCCTTATAAAGGTCCAGAAATGTTTCTGTCACGTGTGTGATTATTCGTTGCTCTCTTGCTGTCTGAAATCATTGAAAAAGTTTTTGTTTGTTTGAGCCTTCAAAACATCAGTGGATCAATAATAATAATAAAAAATAAGTCTATCTTTCCTCTGTGTTTCTCCAATTATTAAACGGCCAATATAAACTGGGATTTGTAGAGAACAGGTGTTGAAAGCTTTTTGGATTTCTTTATTATTATTTTTTATCTCTGTGATAAATCTCCAATTTAAATTTAGACATATTTAATAGTCTGTGTAGAATTGTGTCTTGTACGTGTTGATCTGAACTGAGAGAGTGAAGAGTGTGTCATTGTTCTCTACAGGTTGAGGAATTGTGGAGTCACAGATGAAGGTTTTGCTGCTCTGACTTCAGCTCTGAGATCAAACCCCTCACACCTGAGAGATCTGGATCTGTCTGGGAATAAACTAGGAGATTCAGTTCCTCTGCTCTCTGCTGTACTGGAGGATCCTCGCTGTAAACTGGAGAATCTGTGGTAAGATTGTCTCTCTGATAGTCACACGTCTTTGTCCTCAGTAAGATGAATCATTTGATGTCAATTTTAGGACTAAAATTTGCTTGTAAAATGTTCTGTAAACACTAAATCTCAGTACAGAAATCACAGATGTTCACAAATGACTAATCTCATGATCTGGTACCAGTGTTCATTTTTCAACATTATTCATTTTATTCAACAGTGTTTTCCCCAATGATGTTCCTCTATATAATAAGTCAGTGTTTCTCAACCCTGATCCTGGAGTTTCACCAGCACTGCTCAGTTTAGATGTCTCTCTAATTAAACACAGCAGATTCAACTCATCAGCTCGTTAGTAAAGACTCTCAAGATCTCAGGTGGGTTTGGCAGAGAAGAGAGACATCTATAATGTGCAGTGTTGGGGCTCTGCTGGGTGGTTTCTCAGATTTAAGAATTGTTTTTTATCTAGTAAAGTCCTTTTGCTCAGATATCTTGAATTATTTTTATAAAGTAAGGCCACATTTGCACATAGCGAACGAATATTTTCCCGCCTTCCGTTTTCAATAATAACATTGTTGTCATTTTCATTTACATCAGCATGCATAAATACTCTGAGCGCCGTCATAACTATGCCAAACTGGGCGCTCGCATGACGTTAAGCATTTTCTGGCACATAATGTGACGTTTGAGAACCTCAAACCCGTTTGTTCCAGTCGACACAGCAACAAATAACTGGCGTTATCAGAAATCTCCACTTTGGCCGGAGTTTTTAGAAATATTCGTTTTCTGTGAGTATCATATTTATACATCACTTTTATGGCTCATAATTGCAATTCAATGAAAATCAATGATAATTAAGAGATGGAAAATGATCCCCAAAAGCCTGTTGCATCATATTTGACATTTATATTAACATGAAAAAATTTCAAAAGAATTACATTTTCAACATTAACAAATGGTGTATGAATAATCAATAAACCCACAGTTGCTTCAGTCCAGTAAATGTTTCTTACTATTAGTTTATAAAAAGCATTAAAGATTTCTCAGCAAAAAATACTTTATTTAATTAAAAACTATCAATCAGAGGACAGAAGGCATGAAGTCGATTGTGTGTAAGAGGTTTTTCAGCAAAGTTTTAGTCATATTGATAATTTATAGGCCCTAGAAATTTGTGTATTAAATATTATACAGTAAGCTAATATTCATAAATAGGCATTATACTTAATGATCAGCAGAATTTTACAAAGAATGTTTAGTTTAAGTTATGAGAGAATAAATTGTTTTGAAAATTTGGCTAAAATGTTGTAATACAAATAGCCAAAGAAGCATTCTTTTTTAATGACTTTATCCCCCCAAAGGATTTATGTTGTAATGAGATACAAACATACAAACATAAATCCAAAATAAAAGTAAAAATTCATATATTAAAAATTGTCCAAATAAGCAATAAAATAGCAAGACATAAATTTTCTGATGTCTTTTTATGGTCTTGCCCTTTTTAGGGTTAATATTAAATTTTGCTTTTTTATATATAATATACGCTTTTAAACAAATTAAGCGTACATGTATTCTTTTGAACTTTTAGAAACTATATAAGTTATAGGCGATTTGTTTGGTTCACTTGCATTGATTTAGTGGGTTATTTTCTTTCAGCTGTCTTCAAATTTCGCTCCAGCAGCAGCAGTGTTTATTTCTGCCTTGTAAATGCATTTGATTTCATGATATTTTTCATAATGATCTCTAAATCTTCAACAGAGAAGTGAATTGCTTGGCTCTCTCGCGTGAAGTGAATCAAACTGACGTTCTCCATGTGCCGTGTGATTGGCTGTTGGCCTAAGTGTCACTTTAAGGTGCACGTGCTTCAGAGTTAATAGCAAACTATGGATCAAACCTGAGTTGACAGAAAACGTTTATACAGAGCTTTGTGAGCCCATTGAACCGGATCTAGGTTGGATTTATATTTATATTTTTCAACTCTAAACCTGCTCTGAAACTCAGTTTGTTCAACTAGCTTCATGCAACAGGCCTCAGGAGGTGCACCAAATCTACACATGATCGAACTCTTCCTGTTCTAACTAACATCTGATTCAACGGTATATTTTCAATACAGCTAGCTTGCTCATTACACTTGACATAATAGGCTAACTTACACATTTTGGCCAAATGCTAGCATGAAATTAGATAGAATACACATTATGAGTCTTATTTTTTTGATAAAGTATATGCAATAGTCCTCATTTGTGTTTTTACGTGCCACTTTTCTATGAGACAGAAGGCCCAAATGAAGAGGAAGGGATACAGAGACAGATATTTTTTTTCTTTACAAAAATCAAAACGAGATGAAGCAGGAGAACAGGAACATAGAGCAGATGCAGGAGTTTATTATGCAGTGAAGATAAACATATCTCATATATAAATGAACAGTGGAGGGAGAGAATGATATACTGGAAGGCGAAAGTGATGATGAAGAAGCGCAAAACAGAGAGGAAGGTATCATTAGGAAGACAGAAACAATGACTGCATATCCAGTAAAACTTCATGGGATGTCATAATTCTCAATTTAGGTTAGACCATTTTAGTTTCACTTTATTTTAAGTAAAAAAGTAAGTAAGTAAAATTTATTTATATAGCACCTTTCACAGACAAGGAGTCACAAAGTGCTTTACAATCTGTTAAAAACAAAAAGGATCAAAACATGGATACACTAAATACACCATAACATGACACACGAAAACAATCTTCACAAACATGAAACGACAGTTAACCACTGCTGTTAAGTAAAAGCAAGTCCAAAAAGATGCGTCTTCAGGAGTTTTTTAAAGGAATTAACAGAACCCACAGTTCTCAGTGCTAAAGGCAGAGAGTTCCAGAGCCTTGGTGCCACCGTACAAAAAGCACGGTCCCCTTATAGTCTGTTGACTATAAGTACAGGTGCACATGTCTACTAACTCTCATTGGAGTGTTAATAGATTTATTAGTAGGCTGTTGGGGTTAGAAAGTTGACATGTAGTTGGAAGATCATCACAATAAAGAGTTAGCAGATATTAAGCAGACAGTCAACTGATACTATAAAGAGAGTTAGTTGACAGTTGTAAAGTGACTTATAGTCAACAAGGGTTCAAAAGGGATCATAAAATGAGTTAACATCATATTTAAAGGGATAGTTAATCTAAACATGAAAGGCTTTCATGTTGTTCTAATGTTTCATGTTGTAGAGCAGAGTTTAGAGTTTATCTTCAATCAGAGATGTATTACTTAAATTACCCGTCATAGAAGAATCAAACATCTGTTGATCTAATGAGTGCACACAGTAATTTTTAGTTCGGAAGTGTTGTTGTCAAGTACGTTTTATGTTTTATTGTTTGTTTCCCATTTTAAATCGGAATGAAATTCTTGTATTGTCCCTCAAAATGTTATAACTGGTTTTACATTTACCATGGTAAGCCTAGTTGCCACCCCTCATTCTGCACATCCTTGCTCCTATAAGACTTTCCTCTTCACAACAAGTCTCCCACCGATGTCCAGCGACGCCGCGGGAGGAAAAGTCCAGTTAGAACAGCTTGACTTGGAAATTGAGCACTTACTTGGATATTATTATGGAAACATGAACTAAAATGTAGTTTTATATCTTAAAAAAAAAAACCCTCAGACATTTAACAACAATATAAAACATTTACAGTAAGTTAACCGTACTCTTGTGTGCTTTCATCTTCACGATGAGTCTGTCACAGTGGAGAGGTGTAGTTGTTTTTTGAGGTCATTTATAAATATGGTAACACTTTACAATAAGGTTCATTTATTAAACATTAGTTAATGTATTAACTAACATGATCTAACCATGAGCAATACATTTGTTACTGTTTTTGTTCATCTTTGTTAACGTTAGTAAATGCAGCTGTTCGTTGTTTGTTCATGTTAGTTCACAGTGCATTAACTAATGTTAACAAGATTTTAATAAAGTATTAGTAAATGTTGAAATTAACATTAACAAAGATTAACAAATCCTGCAGAAGTATTGTTCATTCTTAGTTAATGTTAACTAATGTAGTTAACTAATGAACCTTATTGTAAAGTGTTATCATAAATATATTACTTTATTTTTTATGACTGATAAATCAGAAATTTAGACATATTTAATAGTCTGTGTAGAATTGTGTTTTGCACGTGTTGATCTGAACTGAGAGAGTGAAGAGTGTGTTATTGTTCTCTACAGGTTGAGTTATTGTGGAGTCACAGATGAAGGTTTTGCTGCTCTGACTTCAGCTCTGAGATCAAACCCCTCACACCTGAGAGAACTGAGTCTGTCTGGGAATAAACTAGGAGATTCAGTTCCTCTGCTCTCTGCTGTACTGGAGGATCCTCACTGTAAACTGGAGAAACTGTGGTAAGATTGTCTCTCTGATAGTCACACGTCTTTGTCCTCAGTAAGATGAATCATTTGATGTCAGTTTTAGGACTAAAATGAGCTTGTAAAATGTTTTGTAAACACTAAATCTTTGCAAAGAAATCACAGATGTTCACAAATGACTAATCTCATGATCTGGTACCAGTGTTAATTTTTATATTTTAAAAAAACCCTTTAAATTTGGTCAATATTTCATCATATTCTCTATATTCTATCGTTTTAGTCTGTTTCACTCTGACTACAGTGACAATCTCGTTCCCCATGTTTACTCAACAGTGTTTTCCCAAATAATGTTTCTTTGCAATAATAGTGGTTCCTATCCCTGATCTTTAGTTCCCCAGCACTGCACAATCCTTTCATATCATGAAAATCTGCCTTTTTCTGGTTTTAATAATCGAGTCCCTGGTGCATCTGCCATCTGAGAAAATGTGAAAAGTGAAACCCAGTAACTTTGTTTTGGTAAGCCTTTCTCTGCAAGCATGTCAATATATATATATATATATACTGTATATATATATATATATATATATATATATATATATATATATATATATATTAGAATTCTTTTTTAGAATTGTTTTTTATTTTGCAAGTACAAATAAAAACAGATAGGCAAGGCAACAAACAACCTGGACACCTGGTTTTCCATCCAAGTATAAACCAATACTAAATAATATCCTCTATGCAACTGGGGAAGAGAAAATTAAAACAACAACAACAGTGTTGGGGAAGTTACTTTTAAAAAGTAGTGTAACTCTTTACTAGATACTTCATAACAGAAAGTAATCAGTTACTTTACTTAGCTACCCCATATGGAAAGTAACTTTTTACGTTACTCGTTACTTTTACGTTACTTTTATGTTGCTTGACTTTGGGCTGAACCCAATATCTGTTCCTAAATGTGTAGGCCTACATAAAGTTCTACTATGCATAATGCCATAAATACATAATGCATTTATCAAAATGTTGAATATTTAAAGGGGTCATGAACTGGCATTTAAAATTTTATTATATTGTTGTCTGTTGTCAACTTATGACATTCGCTTGGTTTTTGCATTCAAAAACATCAAAATGAATAAGTAATAGGCTATTTTGTACCCAAGTTGTGAGCCTACCTGAAAAACACTTTTATGGGCGTCTCGCACTGAAGACTTGGAAGTAAACGCCCACTGCTGTGAGGGGATAACAGTTTTGCATATTATAATGAGTTACAATTTACCTCGTCGATGCACTTGGGAGAAATTGTATTGAAAACGTCCAATGTTGTAAAATGGCAACCAGAATGATTCGACCCAGAGTCCGTGTGTTGCACCATTCCTGTCAGATCCAATATAGACGGCATAGCACCGTTCTTTACTCTTAATGGGTCTGCAAATACAGTCTTGTTTACAAAACAATCCTCAGTGAAATGAAGTGAACAGACGAACAATGTTTTACCACATCAGCTGGAACATCATTAAAAATAATGTTTATCAATGAGGTCCTATTGGCATCCAGAGGAAGCTTATGCAGCCACTGTCTTCTTCCACAACCAGGCGCTGAGCAATATTTTGTATTGCTCGGTAGCTCGATCCGATTTGTTATCAGGAGGTAGGAATCTATGTTATTTAGCTATGCGTCTAATGCGCGAATCAGTGAGCGGGGCTAAACCGGCCGTGTTGAAGTAGGCATTGATGTTCTTCTGTGGGGGTGGTGTTTTATCCTCTTTGACGTCATAGTTCCCCACTTTGAAAAACGAGTTGTTTGCTGGGGCTGGTGTCAATAAAAGCTTTTATTGGACTAACAAGGACGTTTTCAGTTCTGAAACTTACAGGATATTCTTATAATATGATGACCTCTTAGATGTCAAAAGCTCAAGGAAAATTTGATTTCTCAGTTTATCACCCCTTTAAGAAGAAATGCCTGTTAATGGATAGTCATATGCATGGGCGCTTGGGAGGGGCTAGAAAGAAAGCCCCCAAGAAAGGGCAAAGGTCCCCGTTAGCACCCACAAAAATAATTTCTGGAAGCAATTATATTCAGGCTGTATTCTACAGAAGTCCTGAACCGCATGGTGAAAAAAAAAAAACATATCTTGTTATTACGACATAATACGGGGACATTCTAATCTGCATTAAACCAAATTAGGCGTTCTTATAATGGTTTTCTATGGGAGGAAAATGCAAATGCAAAATTCTGAATTCAGAATTAAATGAATGTGCAGCAATTTGTACAATTAGAGAGTCTAGGTCTAAGTTTTGTTTTGGAGAAAGCCTTTCTTTAAAGTGAATTTTGTTTTGTACAAATTGTATCTTAATTTTATTTTTATTTTAATGAATCAATTGCCTGTATTTAATAAATAAGAAGCAAATATAGCAGACAATAATCATGACATGGAGGCGGCGACGCGGTCACTTGTTGCGTGTGAACTGAAGCACACCTCATCATAAATTAACCGAAACTCAGCATATGTCTCACAGGCATGATAAATGCATCTATACATATATCACGCTTGCAATGTCTTTAAACGAAACAATTCAAAACGAAAACAAATGGGCTACTCAAGTTGGGCGTTTCAAGTGTAGCTGGTGATTGGATGAGAGCAGTTGACCAATGTAGCTTTGCGTCCCCAAAGCTTTCATTTGTCAACTTTTATGTGGCTGTACAGCCAATAGAGTGAATGGATTTATTTCGTTCTTTTTTCTATTCATATTGTTAGGATTGTACTATATAACCATAACCAGCATCTAAACGAGGATATTAATAATGAACAATCTTTGAAATCGTATACCCTAGCTTTAATATGCACGATTCAGCCCACGGCACCGCCATTTGATTTACAACAGTGTAACACTTCTAACGCAATGCCAAAATTTGAGCAAAGGATGCAAACTGATCTGTCGTTGCACAGACGAGCACAGAACACTATTTAGGGTCCCAGCCGGATATGGAGCAAATACTGCTAAATAATTTGAATTTGAATTGTGTACATTTGAATTATGTAATCTAACAAATTTTAATATTATTTGGAACTTTAAATAGTTCTGAATTTGATTTCTTTAAACGAATTTTGAACATTTGAAATTGAACAAATTGAAATGCTTTTATTGTTGAATTTATAGACATGTATCATGTTTGTTCTGAGTTCTTAGACGGACAATATCCTGTTTTAATAAATACAGATTCAAGTTTTCAAGATGAAGAAATTTGGAACTTCAAATTCAGTTTTCTAACATTTAAATTGCAAAAATTCAGATCGAAATGAAAGTAGGTCACAGGCTTTTTCCATTTTTTTCCATTTTATGGTTTGGTCGATGCATTTTCCGGGAGGCTCGTCCAACCTGACTTTCTGCAGCTCGAATTCCCTTTGCTGCCAAATAAGCAGTCATCAACTTATGACCGTAGGTGGGTCCTGCCTGTATGTGGTGAAAAACAAATGAACTGAAACACAATGGCCTGGTTTCACAGACCAGGCTTAGACACCTTAGTTCAATTAGGACATGTATGTAGCTTTTATAAACGTGCCTTAGGGGAAAAAAACATTACTGGTGTTCATCTTGAGACAAAAGATCTCAAGACTCTGACTTAATTTAAGAGATCTCAGTGCAAGTTGCTTTCAGTTAAAACTGCTCAAACACGTATATTAGTCTGAGACTAGCTTAAAGGGATAGTTCACCCAAAAATGAAAATTCTGTCAGTATTTACTCACCCTCATGTTGTTCCAACCCCATAAAGGGGGTCGTACACCAGACGAGAAGCGCAGCACCATGTCTTTAAAATTCGAACACATTATTCTCTATGAGTGTACACACACCGGCGGTACCATTCGTTGTCTGTCCGTGGCACCCAGCTACGGCTCAGGACCTTGTTCAAAACCCTGCCGTGCCACAGAGCGCCATTTGCATAGTTTTATATTAAATTTACATTTATTTGTCTCAAATCGTCGTTAATGTAAATGACTTCACACTGTGCTGTTTTCACTCGGGTTAGCTAAACGCTAGCTAAATAAATACTATTGTATTTACAATAACGTTATAACGTTAACGTTACCACAAATAACAGATTTAACGTGATAGACACTTTTACTTGATTAAAGTTCAAACATCAGCTATTATTCAATCAACATAAAAAATTTATAATAAAACAAGTTAAAACTCACACATCGTGCAACTCTTCTACCAGGAGTTGATTCAAAATTGAGCTTGCATGATTAGAATGTGCGCGTCCGGTGTGCGATACCTGGAGTTCACCTTCTCGTCTGGTGTCCGACCCCCTTAAGACCTTCATTCATCTTTGGAACATGAATTAAGATATTTTTGATGAAATGTGAGAGCTGTCTCTCTCCTCCATACTAGTCCATAGGCTTCTTGAGGGATTGAAACTTGACTGCCTTTAAAAGTTATTAAATACATCGTTAAAATAGTCCAAGTGACTACAGTGGCTCAATCTTCACTTTATCAAGCGACAAGAACACATTTTGTGTGCAAAAACAAACATAAATAAGGATTTTATTTCAACTACTTTATTAATTTCCTTCTCTAGTCAGTTAAACGTCACACGTTGGCTCACTATTGGCTGACGCTGGTCATGTGTGTGATGCGTGTGACGTACAACAACAGATCGCCCAGAGAGAAGGAAAAGAATAGTTGAAATAAAGTCGTTATTTTGTTATTGCGCACAAAAAGTGTTCTCGTCGTTTGATAATGTTAAGATTTTGAGCCACTGTCGTCACTTGGACTATTTTAACAATGTCATTTATAACTTTGAGACTGTCAAGGTTCAATCCCTCAAGAAGCCTATGGACTAGTATGGAGGAGTGAGACAGCTCTCAGATTTCATCAAAAATATCTTAATTCGTGTTCTGAAGATGAATGAAAGTCTAAGTTTATACATATAAACTTGATGTGCGCAGACACCAATAAGTACTCGCATATACAGTACATATAAACTTCTATGCACATACTCCTATAAACACTCGCACATACATATACACTCGC